TATCTTTTACCCCGGGACGGGTCCAGCCAGTCAAGCTGTCGACTTGCACACGTGCCCAAAAACTATCTTTAGCTCATGGCCCCTCTACGCGTAGCCGTCGTCGTTTTTTCTTATTTAATTTACTACCTAACATTATGCTTCTCTCTTTTCTTGCTGCTTACACGGTTTGCAATCAAATTTCCCACTGAACTTTACACTGCACCAACAATTTTCAATTTGAATGTTTTATATTTCATTAAATATTTTTAAAAACAAAAATAATCTTTCTTGAAATCACAAAGTTTAAGCTGAAGCGATGGAGAATGCCGTGCTCTGATTGGTTTATTGCTTTCCATAGAGATCATTTTATCTATTATCAATTATCTCGATTTTTTATTTATGTGACATTTGACAAATTAAGAAATTAAATGGAAAATTCCAATGTAAAACAGCAATAGATAATTGCAAGAGAAAATGTGTGTAGGTTGGTTGATGGTTGCCAATCGCCGTTACCTTAGTCATGTATCCAGAACCAAGGCGCTGAAGTTGCACGTGTTTTCCCGATTCCTGCACAGCCACCCCTCTCCCCCCTGCAGCCGCATGCCATATCAGCCGGCTATACTTTGCTCTCCTCTTCTCTTTTCTGCCTTTTCATCCCGTCTCCCCGCCCACTCTAGACACGATTTTCTTCCTTCCTATCTTAACCACCCACTCCGACTATATTTTGCTTATTTTTTCCATAAATATATTTTGTTATAGATTTATAAAGTTATTTGCAAATATATAATTAAAAATTATGAAAGCTGAAAAAAAAAATTACCGCATTTACTTTAAAAGAGATTCTTAGATTTTTTTATTCCAATAAGTTAAATGTTCTTTATTTTATAAAAACATCGCCCTATTAGATTAGAATAAAAGTTTTTAATGAATATTTTTTTTATTTGTGTTAAACATATTAATTTTTATAAATATAAATAAATACAAAATATTTTTAAAGTCAGCCAAAAAAAACGATTTTCAAGTTTTCCTACATTTAAGGTTTCTTGGAAACTCTACACAATGCAATAATTAAATTGAACTACAAAACAGATGTAGTAGGTATAAAACGTAAGAGATACATTCTAACATGGCTGATGAGCAGCAGAGGAAAAATGTGAGATGAGAATTTTATACCGGATATCCTCTAAAGCGAGTCTAAGCACAACACGCCGCCTATATAGGTACGCTCACAGCTGTTAAGAATCACCCTTAAAAGTCATCTTTTTTTCTACATCAGATAATTAAAGATGGAAGTTAATGAACATGCTCGAGATCTTAATTTTACCTTGTTTTTTAATTTTATTTTATGTAAAAAAATAGTGTCACATTGTATATTAAGTTTTTGAGAGAGAAAAATAAAAAAAATAGAACCACTAAACAAAGCTTTTTATTAAGGTTTTGTAAGTAGCTGAGGCTTTTCATTGTAAAATCTCTTTGTATCTTGAACAGTTTTTTGACTTTTTAAACCATATTTTGCATTAAATAAAGTCAGAGTGAGATAGCGAACGGTTCGGGCCTTGAAACGCGAGTTTTTGGACGGATTCCAAAATAGCGAGCACACCACAGTAAATACGGTTAATGTGTTCAAGTAAAATTTTCCTAGTAATAATGAATAATATTATTTGCAATGCTTTCAGAAAAAGTGTCTTTGCGGGTTTTCCCTTGCATCTAAATAACAGTTTGAGACTAGAGAACATATTTAAAATGGTCAAAAACATAATTTAATAGTACATTGTCCAGGGACGGGTTGGCCCATCTGGACAGCGGAAAAATAATATTACATAACCAAAAATCGTTATTCCTGGGACTTTTGAAAAAAGTAAATTTTACCTGCAAACATACACATTAATCTACATTTTCATCCAATTTCTTCGCTACTTTATTTTGAGTTACCATCACGAACTTTTGTTTTTATATTGGCGGCCATAACTGATGTAGTTTGATTCCTTAATTTTTTTTCTACTAAAATTCTAATAGGTATTTATGTTTGAATATATATATTTTTATATTTCTACTTAAACTCTATTTAAGAAAAAAATTATATCATTGTGTCCTGCATGCTTGACCCATATTTCCGGACTGTCCCAATCCGCCCCTGACATTGTATAACAGCTCTTATATTATAGCCGAGCTCAGTCAGTGTTTTATTTATAAATATTTGTAGGTTACAGTGACCTGTAATTATAGTTACCTACACTGATTTCATGCTGCATACAAAAAGATTTTTGTTATATAGGCTTAAAAAAATAATAATTGTATAGTGTCAAAAACATATAGATATAGATTTGAATATAGCTTAAAAGCACATTGTAAGAAGAATGTCAAATAAATGAAAAGCACGTTATTATTGAGTATTGCCTTATGAAACTTTGTTTGAATACATACTTTATCTATTTTGCGTTCATAATGACTTCATTATAACACCACTTTCGGTGCTGTAATGAGATACTTTATCCCACCCAAAATTTTGATTGTATAGGTTGGCTATACTTTAAACATCATAATATTTTGCATATTGGTTATAATATTTTTATGATTTTTTTAGTACTTACGAGACTTTTCTGGCAATAAATACAAATAAACACCAAAAAAAATCTTTTATCTACTCCTACATTGACGATCTGTGACTTTATGGCGTTTTATTGACGGGCTGAAGTTAACAACAGTGGCTTTTCGACATTTTACGCCACGGACTGAAGTTAGCTTTATTATAAATTGGGAAAAAGTGAGGTTAAATTCGTGTGACAGTTGACAGATGTCAAAATTTTAACAAATAAAATTGGCTTTAAATTCTGTTTTGTGTTCGTCGTAGATAAAGTATAGTATGCAACTCGTTTATAAACTTCTCTAGACACTCGTTTTTATTAAACACTCGCTCGCAAGCTTCGCTCGTGCTTAATTAAACTCGTAACTAAAATGGCGTTTATAAAACTTGATACATAATATACTATTTTTTCTTCTTTAACATTAACAGCCGCTTATTGTAAATAAGTAAATTAAGGACGGCATGGCGAATCGATTTTGACATTAACTGTCAAACCAATGACTGTGATACCAACATCTAAAGTAAAATTCGACCAAATTAAATTTACGGTATAAAATTATTTTTTTTATAAAATTTTTGCAAAATAGATAAAATAGCATAAAGAACTCATGTCATAGGACCTTTTGTCGCACTTGTCCATTACAAATTATAAATTGTCCGCGTGCGACAAAATGACGTCTTATGACATTAGTTCTTTAATATACTATTGTGCATTTTTGTGAAATGTGCAATGTAAGGAGGTTTGAGTAGTTTGATGTTGTGAAGGAGGAGGAAGGAAGGAAGGAAGGAAATGAGAGAATGGGTTGATGTTGGAGAAGAATAAGAAGGAAGAGGAGGAGGAGGAGGAGTAAGAGTGGAATAGGAGAATACATAAAGATGGATATCGTGTGTGGGTAGGAAATTTTGTTTACCCCACGCGTTCAAAAAGTAAGATATATCACAGCAGCAGCAGCAGCAGCAGCAGCAGCTGACTGAACGGCGTAAATACATTGGGTTCGAGCGATTGGTCAGGAGCGTGTGACGTCATTGACGTATATCGACCAATGTGAGGCCATCTCCTGGTGGCGGTCGAGAACGTATCATCTCAGGTTGGCACGGGTACGGGCACGGGCACGATAGAGAAGAACCGGGTATAACCTAGTATTATTATTTGTTTGTCGGTCTCCGCCGCTCTACGACGAGGCGCTCTGCTCACAGTTCATCTCCTTCCTAAGTTCTGGTCGACGCTCGACGACGTCGCAGGCTTTTTGCTTTTGCTTTGCCAGTCGTCGGTTCGTGTCGCGTGGTGCGCGTTATTACTACCATCCACACGATTCTTCCCTTCTAGTCCACATACAACATACTAAACTCCCAGTTCTATGACTGATGTCAATCAAGACGCTCATCATTTATTATTATTTCCATTATTCTTCTTATTGCCTTTTTGTTATTTAACGTTTATATACGCGGCAAGCCAACTCCATTGTTTATATTGTTCGCCGGATAACAACAGTGATTGTGAATTGTGCTTAATTTTACACTATCGGACTTTAAAATTTAAGCGGTGAGTTATCTATGCTAATCCTAACATTTAACCCTTCTTTAACTTAAACTTGAATCAACAAAAGAATACATCAAATATTCGTGACATTTTTTTATTTGGACACGAATATTGTTGATGTTATTGTACTATTTTTAAACAAAAACAAACGAATGTGCTCTCTCAAAAGTATCAGGATCGCAAAACATGACCAAAACACAGGTACATTGGAGAAACGATAGCGGAATTGACTTGACTCGTGTAGGAGGGCCACGCGTCGGCCTTGTGCTTCTCCTCTCCCCCTCAACAAAATCGATCGAAAACTACCCCTGAACCAAATCAGGTCACTGTGTTTGCGGGTGGCCTCTTTTTACATTAATCCATCCGTCTATCTAACCAACCATCCCCCACATCATAATAATCCTTTACCTTATTACTCACACAGGGCGATCAAATAAATCCCACCAAAAACTTTTTTCTCCACACAAATCTCCTGCTTAATTTTTTAGTCAATTTTCTATTTTAAGATAAATGTGGATTACAATTAAAAATCGTAAAGGAAATTTTTCCACACCATAAACAAACAATATTAATATATACAGGGTAAAGGTAAATTCCTCTTAAAATTACAAGACCAAATTTACGTTACTATTTTTTCGAATTCGCCAAATTGCAGGAGTTATTAAACTTTTAAAGCCGCCAATGAGAGCGCAGTATTATCGATTTGTAATATGGATTGCCTACATACATAAGCACTCTCATTGGTGGCTTTAAAAGCTAAATAACTCCTGCAATCCCTGTAATTTTTATAGGACTCTTAACCTTTGGGACACCCTGTATAAAATATATATATTATAATGTAATTAAAATATTTTTTACTTGTATGACATGAAATAAAACTAAATAATTTTATTTCAGATTATCCTGAAGGAAAATCAAAGAAAACTGTTCAATAACTGGCTATTTAATTGGAAGACATCGCTTCGAGCGATCAATTTGTACGAACACAGTAGGATTTTAAATTAACTGTTCAAAATTGCTGCCATGGGTCGCAAAAAAATACAAATATCGAGGATTACCGACGAACGGAATCGACAGGTAAATAAAAGGAAATTAAAATTTAGCTACCAGAGGGAAATAAACGTGGCGTTAGAAAATAGAGCCTTTAAACAATGTTTTTATTGAAATTTGTGACTTCACATTTCACAGGAAATCCCTATGGAAAGCAATAAGCCAATAATGCTTAATCACACCTAGTGTGCTGTGGGGAATACCGCGCTTTGATTGGTTTATTGCTTTCTATAGAGATTCTATGGAAAGAAAAGTCGCAAATTTCAATAACAATGTTTTTTGCTGTGTAGTAATCATTTTTTTGTAACTCGGTCCCCTTAAAGGTAACAGTTTTACGCACAGTTCTTTTGGCCATATCTAAAGTCTAAAATACACAATAGAGCAAATAAATATTTGCCAACATAAAATACAGGTGTATAATATGGACCCCCTTTGTGACTAGGTGACATTCAACAAGCGAAAATTCGGCGTGATGAAGAAGGCATACGAACTTTCGGTGTTGTGCGATTGCGAGATCGCGCTAATAATATTCAGTAGCAGCAATAAGCTGTACCAGTACGCTAGCACAGACATGGATAAGGTTCTGCTGAAATATACCGAGTACAACGAGCCGCACGAGTCACTCACCAACAAAAATATTATAGAGGTACATCAAATCCAGCAGCAACTTTGCTCGATACGTGGCTCATGCAAACACGATAACGATGTTTTAAGTTTTCACTATTTTTTTTTATCTAAATGATGATGGGTGGTTCTATTTGTATCGAGTTGATAGATTTTGTGTCATAACCTGGAATAGAAAATTATCTCTTTGGAAAGCATTCTCCACCATGTGAAGAACGCTATTGCTTTCTATAGCGATAATTTTCTATTGAACGTAATGTCGCAAATTTCACCCTCAACATATTTCAAAGCTTGGAATAAAACAGCCCATATTATTATTTATATATCGACTAACTATATAAATCTAACACCTTTTTTTGTTTTATTTGCTTACAATTTACAATGTTATCGATTTAATGCATTTGCCTGCTATTTACGCGAGTTGTTGCTTAAGTATTGAAACTTACTAAAATTAGTTGTGTGTGTGTTATGTTGAATGAGTGACTAATTAAACATTTGAATTAATTAAATAGTTTCAAACTAGCTTGGTTCATAAAGTTTTGGTGTACTTTACGTCCATGTATCCTTTGTTTACGAGATCCATTCATAAATGACCAATACAATAAAAAAACAGTTTATTAAAATATTAAATTGACTGGCCAAATACCTCGTCACCTGTTCTTATTAGACGCTTGAAGCAAAAGCACGGTGACGAGGTATTTCGAAGAGAAAACCATTTTTTGAAATAATAAATTATAAAAAACTACACCTCGCCAAAGTTGTTTTGAGTGCGTTACACCAACTTCAAATTCCGATAGTCAGCTGTTTCGACCTCTATTGGGTCTCATCAGTGTCGGGCAACTTGGTGTAGTGGAACACACCCAAAACAAAAGACTCCCTGAGCTTATATACTGGGTTGGTAAGCCAACAGAGGCGAGATCAGGACGTGCATACTATGCAACCAAGACTGCACACGGCAAATTGTATCACAGATACTAATATGGCGTAAAGGAATCTAGAATTAGCCCAATGTTTAAATAATAAATTGTTGAGAGTGAATGTATGAGTGATTGCGCCCAAGCCGTTTAGGCTCTGTTTATTTCCCATGAGCTGGTCCACTGACACTTGTAGGCACTTAATAAGAAGGAGCATAAAAACGGAGTGATGAGTCCTGAAAGCCCGGAGCCGGAAAACGATTACCAATTGACGCCACGCACAGAGGCCAAATATACCAAAATTGACGAAGATTTCCAAATGATGCTGCAAAGGAATCAGATCAACGGACAAAGGGTTAGTTTAACAAGTTAAAACGACGATGCGCTAAAGTGGTTTTCTTTTGATCTATTTTGCGCAGTTGATGTTGGATTTTGAATTGTGTTTTTGTGGATTTTAGGGCAGCATGAGCGGATCGAATTACTCTCAGCCAGTGTCGGTGCCGGTGAACATAAGCTACAACGATTCTGGTCTTCTGCAGTCTAGTCCACAAATGGCGCACGCCAGTATTAGTCCGCGGCCGTCGTCGTCGGAAACCGATTCGGTGTACCCGTCGGGCGGCATGCTCGAAATGAGCAACGGCTATCCGAACTCGGTGTCGCCCATGGGCGGGCCGCCTTCGCCAGGACCTAGCCCCGGTCCCGGACAGGGCCTCTCCTCCTCATCGAAATCTCACTCGAAACAGCATTCGCCGATTCCGAGGGCCAACTTGCGAGTCGTCATACCCACGCCCTTGGGACCAAGTATTAACCCTGACGAGGTTTCATACGCTGAAGTGAGTATCAATTATTTACTATTTATAATGGGCTATTTATTATTTTTTTACCTCTATACTTTTTGGTTTTTATGCAACTTAAAGCTAAAATAACAAAGGAGCTACAGGCCGCGCTTTGTAACTTGGCGAGAACGCCCTATGCTCAGTTGACGTAATTTCGTAATGGTACCGCCCTTCAAGTTCAGTTTAACACGTATTTAGCAAAGCAGTGGCGCGTATTCAATATTTACTTTTAAATTTTTTTGGCTATTTGTTCAATTTTAGTAAACAAGTGCCAATATTCGTCGAGCTTCGCCAAGTTATTACGCGCAGAATGATTATGACTAGATCAAATATTAAGAAGCTAAAATGATGACAAGCCTATATGACAAAGGAGCTAAAATGATGACCAACTTAAAATACTAAAAATAAAGTAGACAAACTAAAATTACAAAGGTCTAAAATAACGACAACCTATAATAATGACAAGCTAAAATAACGAAGGATCTGTATGACTAGATCCAATATTGAGAAGCTAAACTGATAATAACCTAAAATGACGACAAAATACTAAAACTAAACTAAATACAATCTAAAATATAAAAAGATAAAATAACAATAACAATGTTAAAATGACGACAACGAAAACCTAAAATAATCGACAAACTATAATAATGACCAGCTAAAATAACAAAGGAGTCATATGACAGTCATGAAATATTGGGAAGCTAAAATGACAAGGAGCTAAAAAGAGGAAAACCTAAAATGACGACAAGACGGAGAACTAAAATAACGATAAGCTAAAATGATTACCAGCTTAAAATACTAAAAATAAAGTAAAGATAAACTAAAATGATAAAGAGCTAAAATAACGACATTTAATAATGACCATCTAAAATGATGACAAAGAAGCTATATGACTAGATCCAATATTAAGAAGGTAAAATGACAAGGAGCTAAAATAAGGACAACGTAAAATAACGACAAGCTAAAATAATAAAGGAGCAATATGATTACATCCAATATTGAGAAGCTAAAATGACAAGGAGCTAAAATGACGACAACTTAAAATATCAACAAGCTTAAAATACTAAAACTAAAGTAAAGACAATCTAAAAATATAAAAAGATAAAATAACAAGCTTAATTGAAAATGGAGCTAAAATAATGACAATCTAAAATGACGACAAGACGAAGACCAAAACAACGACAAGCTATAATAATGACAAGCTTAAAATACTTAAAATAAAGTGAAGAAAAACTAAAATAACAAATAGCTAAAATAACGACAAGCTATAATAATGACCATCTAAAATGATGACAATCTAAAATAACAAAGGAGCTATATGACTAGATCAAATATTGAGAAGCTAAAATGACGACAAGCTTGAAATACTAAAACTAAAGTAAAGACAATCTAAAATGACAATAGAGCTAAAATGATGACAACATAAAATGACAAGACAAAGACCTTAAATAATGACCAGCCTAAAATACTAAAAATAAAGTCAAGAGAAACTAAAATGACCTAGAACTAAAATAACGAAAAACTATAATATTGACCATCTAAAATGATGACAAGCTAAAATAACAAAGGAGCTAAAGTAAGGACAACCTTAAAGCTTAAAATACCAAAAGTAAAGACAATCTAAAAATATTAAAAGATAAAATGACGTAGACCTAAAATAATGACAAGCTAAAATGATGACCAGCTTAAAATACCAAAAATAAAGTGAAGACAAAAATGACAAAAAGCTAAAATAATGATCAGCTAAAATAACAAAGGAGGACAACCTAAAATGACGAAAAGCTTAAAATACTAAAACTAAATTAAAGATAATTTAAAATATAAAAAGATAAAATAACGACAAGCTTAAATGACAATGGAGTTAAAATGATGACAACCTAAAATGACGAAAAGATGAAGACCTAAAATACTAAAAATAAAGTGAAGACAAACTAAAATGACAACTAAAGCTATAATAATGACCAGCTAAAATAACAATCCAATATTGATAAGCTAAAATGACAAGGAGCTACAATAACGACCAGCTAAAATAACAAAGGAGCCAATATTTTGGCAACATTTAATGACAACAAGTTTAAAATACTAAAAATAGAGTGAAGACAAACTAAAATGACAAAGGGTTAAAATAAAAGCCTAAAATAATTACAAGCTTAAATAACGACAAGCTTAAAAAAATATATATAATCTAAAATGACAAAGAGCTGAAATGACGAAGAGCTAAAACAACTAGGGAGCTAAAATGATGACAAGCTTAAAATACTAAAAATAGGGGGAAGACAAACTAAAATGACGAAGAGCTAAAATAATGACGACAAGCTATATGACTAGATCAAACATTTACAAGCGAAAATGACGAAGAGCTACAATAATGACATGCTAGAATGATGACCAGCTAAAATAATGACAAGCTAAAATGACAAAGGAGCTAAAATGACGACAAGCTTAAAATAGCAAAAATAAAGTGAAAACAAGCCAAAATGACGAAGAGCTAAAATAATGACAAGCTAAAATGACGAAGAGCTAAAATACCGACAATCTGAAATGAACAACATTGACAAGCTGAAATGACAAAGGAGATACAATTATGACAATAATAATCGCCGGAAAACCACAAAAAGTATATGTTAAAAAATTAAGTAGTCCGTTATTGTACAGTCAGCTTTCTTCATTGGTTTATTCTATGAAATTTTCAAATGGTTCATTATAATTATCTATTTAATTTTTTATTGATATTAAACAAAAAGAAACGGGGGGTGTATTGATTAACTTATTTGAGAAAAATGGGGGTTTGAATTGGTAAAATAGTTTTTTTTTTAATTAAAAACATTTATTTTGTCAAATTTACACTGTAATAATTATTTGAAATTCATTGGTATTTAAAATTTTCGGGATCAAGCAGTGTAGTCAGTTTTCAGATTTAAAGCAATGTTGCCAGATGTAAAATATTTATATTCTTTTCAAATTTCCTATTAGAAATTTATTTTAAAAATTTTAATGACAATTTGAAATTTTATAGTTTATAATATGGTAATTGGTAATGGGTTTTATGGCGTCCCAATAAACATTTTTGTTTTTATAGTGGTTTCCATAAATGATATCATCCAAATTATAAAACCTAAATTTATTAATTTGGTTACAGAAATATTTATATCACTCTTATATACCCCTTAAAGAGCTTATTTGGGGAGTTTATGAAGGTTATTGGTACCTATTTTAGTAACACTATAAAACCCAAGTTTTATAACTAGAGATAATAGGACTATAATGGAAACCACTATATAACTTCCTAAAAAACTACTACCGGCTTTTATCCTCAAATGTACGCTATCTTTCTTATTGTCATCTTATTCATTAACTTGTTTAAACCACGTAAATATTTTAAGAAGCCAAGTATGGCGGAAATATATGGTATATAATTTAAATCTAAGATTTTTAACTCAATACCACTTAAACTGCATAGTAATTTTTATTGTAAATATTTCCACAATACTTCGAAAAACAGCAGGGGACATCAAAATACCAAAACATAAATATTTTTATACTATTAAAAAATATATGAAAATATTTTTTTTAATTACATTAATTTCTTTCTTTTGCTTACATTAAAGTAGTGAATTTTTTACCTTGGTTTGGTCAATTAAGTTGTTTTTGTAATACAATTCGATTAGTATTTATTTTATGTAAAATTCAATCATGGCGGAAATAATATATCAACCTTGAGCCCTCTTATATTGCTCATGTTAATTTTATATAACCTAAGGTACTAGTTTAGTTTTATAGTACTATCTAAGTTATTTAATGTGCTATTATATAATTTTGAAACTCTTATATACATTGTAGTAACTGTCGTTACTACAAGTGATGTTATAAAACTTTTTGTAGGCAACCATCTAACCGCTCAGGTTAGTGTTGTCAGGTTCGCCATTTTTGCTTGCAGTAATAATGGTTTTAACGCAATGAAATCAATGTATTTCACTAAACATTCGATTTAATCCAGTTTTAAATTGTTATTATGTTAATAATATTTTATTACTAAATATTTTCTTTTCAACCAATTGTTAAATAAAATTGCGTTGAAAGCTAATATATACTATGCTTAATTTCTGTTTCAATTACTAAACATTTTTGGTTTATTAAGCAAATAAATAATTATCAATTTTTATTTAAAAAAATTAAAAACACAATAGTTTTATAAAACAGGTAACGGCAAACTTTATAAAGCTCCTTTATAAACCTACTGGTAACGGTTACTAAAGGTTATATAAACTGTTTGTAGAAACAATTAAATAACTAGAGATGACCAATATAAAACTAGTAAACTAAATGGCGATTTTATAAAACCTTGTTAAACTCTTATAATAATTTGACAACTCTTTTATAACCTTTATATAATTTATCGTATAAGTAGTACCAATTGTTTATTAGGGTGCCTCTTTCTAGCAAGTTACAATTCCAAATGTTAGTCTTTATGAGGCGCCGTTTGTCCGTAAATTATTTTTGCTATATATAAGAATATTTTTTATATATAAACTTTAAATTTCCTATATATATATATGGAAACTTTTTAGTTCAGATAATGCCGCTTGAGAATGAGGGCGCTTTGTGGTATTCAACTAAAAAGCACTGTTGCCAGAGTGTGCCAATGCAAAGTTTTGGTAAGTGTTTCCAACATAACGGATCTTCGGTCAGATCTAGCGGAACAAAATGTCATTTTGAAAACGATAGCAAAAAGTAAAGGATTTTAGTTTTTTTAAATACTTATAGGTAATATATTGGTCGGTTGGTCTATTTTTATTGAAGAAAACATTTCTCTTCTTTGGCCGTCTCTATTTCTCTAAATAAACACGGCTTCGTTTTTACTAATAGGTATTTAAAAAAACCAAAATTTCTTACGTTTTGCTTCTCTTGTCAATTTATAAAAAAAAAGATTTTTTTTTAAAACTTGGACTCTTACAAATTAAATTATATAGGTACAAATACCATTCGATATTATGTTCAAGTTTCCGTTAAAAAATCCGTCAGCCGTAAGAGTATCTTTTTTCCCTCGACCTTTATTAAAATCTGCCAGATCTGGCGAAACGTTATGTTGGAAACACTGACCAAAACTTTGCATTGGCACACTCTGGCAACAGTGCTTTTTAGTTGATTACCACAAAGCGACCTCATTCTCAAGCGGCATTATCTGAACTAAAAAGTTTCTATATATATATAGGAAATTTAAAGTTTATATATAAAATATATTCTTATATATAGCAAAAATAATTTACGGACAAACGGCGCCTCATAAGTCTTGTAGCGATAAAGTAATGAAGGAAGTTGATTGTATTTAATGCATGTTAAATTGGTGTATATGCATGGTAAAGGTGTAGCGGGTAAAAATAGTTTTATGTAAAAAATGTAGTTTCTGTTGCAGCACAATCGTACGCAGTCGACCTTAAACACGCCGGTGGTGGCGCTGCAAACGCCGGGCCTGTCCGGCTACCCGGGCTCGCTGTCGTCGTTCGGCGCGCAGGACTTCAGCATCGGCTCGGACATGGGCTTGGCCGCGATGTCGTGGACCAGCCACCAGATACCGACCTCCCTCACGCACAACACCTCCTGCTTGCCGTCGCACTTGGCGGTATCGAGCAGCACGCCGCCGCCGTCGTCCAGCTCGCCGATACCGGTGAAGATAAAAAGCGAGCCGATCTCGCCGCCGAGAGACCACCACCCGCACCTGTCGTCGCTGCACGCGCAGCAGCAGCAGCAGCAGCAACAGCAGCAGCAGCAGCACGTTCAGAGTCTGAATCTAACGCACAGCGGCGGCCCGCGGCCCAGTTCTGCCGGCCAGATCACGCCGACGCCCGGCTCGGTGACGCCGACCAATTTGGGCTCGCCGAGCGGCGGCAACGGCGGCGGGCCGCCGTCGAACGGCAGCGCGCACGACTACGAGACCGTGCAGATGCATAAACGTCCGCGCATCCAAGACTGGCAGTCCTAATGGCGGTGGATGGACGATTGGAAGAAGTAAGTAAGAAAGAGGTGTGCATAGGACACAACAAGTGCCATAGTGATACCTACCTATAGGATACGTATAATCATTTTTGATATGAATTAGTGAGTGATGGCGTTTTTTCGTCATCGTCGTTGTTTTTATTACGCCAATTGTCATCCTTGTGATATGATGATTACCAAACTTTTTTGAGTCTTGCTGAACAATATAATTATTCGAACACACAACCTCTATACCTGCATACCTATTGAAGAAGAAATTAGTTAGGTAGGAAAGGAAAGTATAGAGATATTAAAACAGAAGAAGCGGAAGGAAAGGAAATATTCAGAAGAATAGTTGTGTTTAATTAGCGCGAGTGCTGTGGTTCCAGTCAGCGACGGCACATTATAAATCATGATGTGCTGGCGCCTTTGTTTTGTTCTTATCAAAAACAAACATATATACATACATACATACATACATAGTGCCATTATTTTCTTGTAATTATTAGTGTCTTTTTTTATAAATGTTTTTAGATAAATAGTATATTATTTAATTAAGTAAAGAATGTACACTTGTTATAATAGCGCGACTTGATTGCATTGCAGAACATTTAATGTTAATGATTTATTAATTATTATGATTACTCTTAATTATTATTACTATTATTATTATTCTATTGTTATGTATCGGTGCTTATTTATTCGACCTGATGGATGGAATGAACGATGGATGTTGGTAGTCTGTCCATTGGCCGAGGGCTGACCAAACCCGAGTGGAGCAAAAATCACCGCCACGTACGTAAGCCCGTCGCTACCCCCTCAATTAAATGTTAAATGTACTGCTTCCCCCATGGAACCTAGGGTGTTCATTGTTGTAGCCTTTTCAATTTATTTGTGATTTCAGAGTATAATTCATACATGATAACGATATATCCATCTATTTCTGTATATTGAACTACATACACAAAGAAACAAATTATATAAATATACATGATATATATATTATATAAATATATTTTATCTACTGTTGTGTGCACAAACCTAGCACATAGTTTTGAATGATAATTATTAAATGTTAATATGTCTGTGTGGACGACCCAACCTATCTCCACCGAACTACTGTACAGTACGTAGGATTGCCTTACTCACAGTGCCTCGACAGTATGTACCTACCCCGACACGAGCCTATATTTTTACACACATCGACATTATATAGTGACACTTTTACCATGTTTTCTTTCTCTTTTCTTTGTTGATTTTTAGCTTTTTCAAGATTTAATCTAACGCGCATGCTTAGTTATTCTAAGCCATGCGCACTATAGCTGTTTTTAAATCATATACATTTATATACGTTAAAGGATAGAAATTTTGAATGATGTTATACTGTTATTATACTTGGGTATCATAGGGTAATATATACATTGAAAGAAAAGCTGGTAATTGTATGTGCGTAGGTATTTTGAAATGAGACGATGCGTGAAAAGAATATAGGTGAAAGTCGCCTGTAGGTACATAACTTATTGTCTAATCTAGTAGTACAGTAGGTACACTTACAACTTCTCGATGTTGCATCGTGTCGTATCGTAAAATAATGAAGAAAAGATTTAAATTGATCGTAACGTATCGGTACATTTTCGACGATTATTCACAGGGTATTGCGCCATTCTACACTCCTACACTCTCTTACCTGTTTGTTGGTGCTGTTTGTCGGTCCGTAAGTCAGTCAGACAGATACCGCTGCTTGTGCCTTCTTGTTAACCTGATATGTACCTAGAACCTAGACCTAGACATAGTCAACAACCTTTCCAGATAAAACCTAAAAATGGCTTCCGTGTCATAGCACCACTTCTCCTCCTTCAATGTCTGCTGTCTCTTCTATGTTTATTTCAATTCTTCAAATCGACATTCTTCTACTTAATTTTTTATTTAGTCATGCGGTCATTTAATTATCAAATAACATGAAACGTGAAATGACGTTCACTTTCCCCAAACAAACATTTAAATACCACCATATTAATACCGGATACCAGATTTTATTTAGTTGTTTTATTTTTAAGTGAAATTCTCCTTTAAATTGCTTTTCTTAAATGGACGAAATAGTCAGCCACTACATGTACATAATATTTTATTTTTCTAGCTTTAAGCTAATTTAATGTTACTAAATGAAAATTGACATACATATATAAATATATATAACTCGATTTAATCATATCATGGTATGGCACATTTATTACGTCCATTTGACTAAGGAATTATTCAATCATGTGCAATATTAATATGACGTTTTATTTATCTATGATGTATTGAATTTAAACCAAATAAAATTGTTTGTTACATATCCTTGTTTTATTTTTCCTTGGGGCGCTCCTTTTTAAGAGTTAAGTTATTATAAGGGATATTCTGAAGAAAAATTAATTTGATTTCATAAATCCACTACCTAATGCATTTGATCTTTGTTCAACAATGAAAATAAAAGTGAGGCATGAATTATTAATTTTGATATATTAATCATCATCTGAGCCACTACAGGGACGATATATTTCATGAAATTTGCAAATTGTTTAATAAAAAGTTCACTACATACAAATTGTATTTTCATTTTATTAATTGTATTAGTTAATGTTACAATTTGCCCAAATTTTAAATAGGTTTATAATGCAACATGTTGATCAAAAAGCAAAATATTTATGAAAATTAAGGAAAAATAATATATGAGCAAACGCCAGCCCGGCTTATCGATAATTATTATTTATGTTTTATACAAGTACAATAGACTATTAAATGACCAAATTTCCAAAATGAAAAACCAGAACACAACATGCTCGCCCTTCCAAAAAATAAACAAAATTTATTTTATTTATTGTTTATTATTTAAAAAAAAAGATGTGCTAATAATGTCAATAATAAAAAAAATCTCCTGAAGGTACTCCCAAAAATTCAGATTTTTAAATTAATTTTTATAAAAATTATATCCTGAGCCCCGACCACATTTAATAAAAAAAATTAGAACAAATACCAAAAAAGCAGAAAAAACTCATAATTAAAAAAAAAATTCAAATGAGATTTTTTTCTTACTTTTTTACTATTCTGAAGGTAAGTACTCCCAAAAAATCAGATATGTAAATTAATTTTCAACATGAGACCCTATAGGTAGGTATACCACTTTAAAAAAAAATTAGAACAAATCCTAAAAAGTGGGAAAAACTTTTTTAACTATCCTGAAGGTACTTTCAATTTTTCAAACATTCAGATTTGTAAATTAATGTTTAACTTGAGACCCTAGGTACCACTTTTTAAAAAAGTGGGAAAAAGACATACCTACTTAACTTTTTTTTCAAACGAGTTTTTTTCTTACTTTTTTACCTACTTCCAAAGTTTAGATAGACTAATTTTTAACCCAAGCCCCGACCACTTAAAAAAAATGATAACAACGTCAATAATAAAAAAAGTACCTATAAACCAGGACCAAATCTGCAAAACCCAGAGAAATATTTCTCTGGCAAAACCAGGACAAAACCAGTAGACAACTCGGCCACGATCGAGTGGATTCTGAATAACGACGCAAGCTTCTGATTCGTATACGTATATATTAAAAAAACAAAGTCATATTGGAATGCAACAAATCAATGAAAAATATATCAGCTGTAATAAGATTTCAGAAATAGGGTATTTTATAGGATATGGACGTATGTCTTAGATTGTCGGTAGTTTACTTTTGTCACGTCAGTGCTGCCAACAAAAACCATTAGTGTTGACAAACAAAAACAAACACCCCAAATAAAACTGACAGTTGCAAACAGCTGATCGCAATGAAAGACGAAAACCCTTACTAGAATTATGAAAATAATGATATTATTGTCATAAGAATTATGTGAAATTATTGCTGTGATATTAGAGTTCATAAATAACTGTAATAAAATGGCCCAGTGTAAGCAAACTCCGCAGGAATTCATCAAAAATGTTTTTACCCCGCAAATCGCTGTTTTAACAACTCAGGAGGCGGATTTAAGTTGTAAGAAGAACAATTTAAGCTTTATCGACTTGTTACAACCTTTTTCCAAGCTTAATAGTGACGGTAAGCTTGCACATATCAATTTAAATTTAATTGTTATTAAACAATGTAGGTATTTACTTGTAGTGCATTATAAAGATCCAAATGGGGTTGTAATAAGTATAAGAAACATGAAACTAACATTTTTGGATGTAAATTCAAGACCCCCACAAACAACGTTGGCAAGAAAGTTCCTAAACAACTCTGTGAGCGAAGCACAAGACCCCCGTGAAACTTGCTACAAAATTGGGGGTTACTCACTAGACATTCCCTCTTATACACCTTGGTATGAAGCTTGGCGAGACACATTTTTAAGGGTACAATATCCATCTGACCACGAATACACCAAACATTTTCTTGCTTGCATGTTAGTTGCTTCTTCAAATGATCCAAACCCTTTAGAAGCTATCAACCAGTTAAATCAACAGCTTATTAAAATGCAGAGCACTGCACCTGGAAAACTGCCCAAATGGTTTAGCTCCAATATACTAAAGTATTATGTTATTCTAGAAGATATTAAAGAACCCAACACCACAATGTAAGTATTTTTTTAGAGTTTTAAGGGGGTTATATATGATTTTTTTTGTAGTATAACTGAAGCCATATCAACATTAAAAAGTACCTATGGAGCATCAAACTGCTTCCTATTAGGAATGAATTCCAGACCTCCGGGAAGTGCTGTAGATCATTTTCCAGATCCATGGAGTCAATTCATAAGTAATAAAATTGATGGGGGGGTTATAGGAGAAAAAAGCAGTGATAGTTCTCCCAACTCTGCTAGAAGCTCAATGGTGCATTGTGAAGTTGCCCAGGAAGCCAATGAAAATAAATCTAGTACTTTTGTTGACTATCACCCACTTAGTCCTGATACCGAAGATCTAACTATGGTAAGCAAATTTGTACATACTGTTACTTTGTTACATATGTAGATATTTCCAGCATGATATAATCGATTCAAAGAAAGAAGCTCCAGTGGAGTTACTAGACGCCAAAACCCACGGAAAGTTTATTTCCAACGAAGATGTAGAGCAAATAAAGTTGATGATATTCGAATTTACACGTAGCTGCTTGATGCCTTACATCTCGTCGCAAATGGTACAGTTAAATGACGTGGTTTCCAACAAAAAGGGAATGAGCAAATCCCTATTCAGCGCAACTAAAAGATGGTTCAGCACCAGCAAACCCGGCACAGGTGGAAGCAGTTCATCCTCGGCAGCTGTAGCACTCAATAATCTCATGTTAGTGTTATACATGGATTTGGGATTGAAATAAATCGCATTATGTTTTAGATACGCAATAGATGCTCCGGAGTTGCAAGTAAGAAAGCTAGGAGACTTGTATTTCATGTTTGGTAACTATGCGGCCGCTTTTCAAGCGTATCATTTGGCGAAACGCGATTATAACACCGATCAGGCGTGGCTGTACTATGCCGGGGCGCTGGAAATGGCCGCCCTTTCAGCCTTCATGTCCGGAGATTGGAATAGAAAAGCGTTCGATTATATGGAAGAAAGTATCATCACTTATTTAAATACCTGCAAGTGAGTATCACTATCCTAGTTTTACAACATTCTACACTAAAAATATTTTAACATCAAGTCACACCAAAAAACACTAGTCCCGTCGCACTGGTGTAAAATTACACTCATTGTAATGAATAAAAAATCAAACTAGCTGGTGTTATATTTAGAGATGCGACTTGAAAAAAAACGAACCGTTTTTTTTTTCATTGTTTTTTTTCAAATGGTTTTTTTCATATTTTAGGTTTTTTTCAAGATTAGTCTCATTTGCCCAATTTTTTATGTTTCCAGTCCAGTTCATGGACTAAAATTAGCCACTAAATAAAATTTAGTAATGCTATGCACGCGCCACCACAACCGAATTGACCAATAAGGGCCGCGCTTGTTTTGATTTGGTCCTAAAAAAAGTAACTACCTATAATATTTTTGATTCAGCGCTTGATTTTTCAAAAAGCTACCAAAAGCACTTTTTTCATGATTTTTCAAATTCTTGTAGAGTATGGAATTTTTTTTAAAAAAAAAAACAATAGCAAATCCTTGTAGAACGTTTATTCATTGGTGGTTAAGTCCGAACATTCCGTGGACCAAAAAAGAAAGCCAAAAAAAATTTTTATTACGATATTCGTTAGGATTGAGCATTGCACGTTTTTCATCTAAAAATCTCAAAACTAGAAACCATTTTTAATTTTTTTTATTAGTGTGGAAGTTTTACATTGCTATTGGTTTCTTATGTGGAAACTACCAAATAATTTTTTAGTCTCAGTCAAAATTTTCAATAAGTAATATGTATATTCTACATTTCACTTTATTATTAATTTACATTTTACTCAAAATTTCATTTAAAAAAATTACTCCATTTTTAAGATTGATGTTATTTATTGACAGAATATGCTTTATTGTAGCGGATTTAAAAAAAACGTTTTTTTCATGTTTTTTTCACATCTGAAAAAAACCGTTTTTGTACATCTCTAGTTATATTTAATATTTTTAGTGAATTGTAAAACACTAACCTGATGTGAATTATTTCTAAGGGTAGTAAAATTTGTTTTTTAAGATGGAATAAATTATCATTGCATGGTGTTAATTTTTTTTTTAATTTATAAAAATCTTTAACATTATAGTGTATTTTTTTTCTTGAGAATTATTTTTTTCCTATAATATTTTATTCTATGTAGTGATAATTTATTCCATACACTAGTGATATTTTATTATTTTGTAGTGATATTGGTCACTACAAAATATACAAAAAGTGAGAAATAAAAGGCAATTAATTGTTAATATATATTTTCATTTATTAGAAACACATAAAATAAAATATTTACAAAACAAAAGCAATAGCTATTTACAAAACAGAAGCTATAGTTATATATAGCTTTTTATACAACAAAACATAAATAAAATAAAATTCTTTATAATAATATATTATATGTATATGTATATAATATATTATAAGTATCCTCCCAAACAAAATTATCGCACCACTTATATTTTATAAGTGCTGTATTGTATACTATGAATATATATGTATTGTATACTATAAATTTAATATACACTTACATATTAGTGGTGCAATAATTTTGTCTGGGACAAATTATAAATTTATTAAACAATATATACATATATGTATACGATTCTCCAATAGTTTTTGAATAAAATACTTGGTTTTATATTTTAAATTTTAATTAAAGTAGGTGCTTCAATGCATTTGTTAATTCGCATTTCGTTTTAATGTTCTGCTAATACTGCTCTGCTAACAAAACTCTAGATAATTCTCGTGTGCTTGCATGAGGATTAGCGGCCGTTGCTGCTAATACATTAATTTCATTATTTCCACCTGTGACTGTTGCTCGACGAATTCTTTTTTTCGGTTGAACACTCCCGTTTGTAGTAAACTGCTTGACTGTACGGTGAAATGAAGTACGTGATAGAATTTTATCCGGAAACGCTGAGCGTAGATATTAACAGCATCATCAAGATTCCTGCCTGCTTCTCCATAAATCAAAATCATTCCTATTTTTTCTTCTGCTGTTAAAAAATCCATTATGAATAACTGCTTAACAAAAGGAGGTCTTTTTGTTTGCAAATTAATCTTCGAACTAAATTAAATAATGCTAAACTATAAATAGTTTCTATATACCTCAATAATAATTATTATTTATAACTAAATACCATTTTTTATACCTCAATTAGGATTAAATTAATTAATTGACAAAATAATGATTTTTTACCTTATATGAAGTATTTTTATTAAAAATAGTACAATAATCCTTTAAATTAAAGGATTTAATGCTGGCAGATAAAAAGTGACCATGGTGCGCAATTGATAATTATCACCGAATGAACTAATGTATAAATCTTAAACCAAAGAAAACTTAAATATTAGTTAAAAAATCGTGGGCACTTAAAAAATCAGATTTAATTTAATAAAATAATTATTGCCAAAAAAGTGATATTTGTATAGAAAAATTATTGCAGAATCGTATAAGAAGAAAAATAAAACAAAACTGTTTTTTTTCATTACAGTGCCGTCTATTACAAATATGAAAAACTGTTTAGACAAAATCTACCTATTTTTAGTCGAATGATCCGAACCTGCAATAAAAAATAGGGTGTTCCATTGGAAATTACCCCCTGTTCCCCCTATAAGGAGGAGAGTATGAGGACCAATTTTAGGACTAATTGATTTCCCCCCTCGAATCATTTAATTTTTATTTTAAACATTTTTTTGTAAAATGCGTACTAACTGTTTCAAGTTAAATGACACCCTGTATACAAATGTTCGGATCACGTGACAATTTCTCGGCCGATTTGAATTTGATTTTTAAAATTATTTTAGAATAGTGCAAATTTACACCACATACTCTTTAAAAAATTAATACTTACACCAGAAAGAAATATGAATAAATTATGAAATAATTTATTTAATAATAAATAAATGTATTTAAACTTGTAAACATTGAACATTAAATCCTAATAGTGAAATATTTTGTAGTTTAGTATTTGATTCTAGTACCAAGAATTTTTTTACAGTGTATACAGTTCTGAGAGCTTTAAAACGATTTTAGGTTGCCGCAGTTCGCCACAAGAGCCACAATCCTCAGTTCTGAGTGCCTAAAATTCAAAAGTCAGTACGGAGACGCTGCCCTTCACTTAATCCGAATGACCAGTGAGGATTCGGATTTGAGATCGGCTTTGTTGCTGGAACAGGCCGCCTATTGCTTTCTGCAATCCAAGATGGTGCGGAAGTACGCGTTCCACATGGTGCTGGCCGGGCACAGGTTCTCGAAGGCTGCGCAGAAGAAGCACACGCTGCGCAGCTATAAGCAGGCGTTCAGTATTTACGAGAATACCGGCTGGGATTTGGCTACGGATCACATTCATTATACGATTGGAAGGCAGGCGAATATTTTGCAGCAGTACCACCAGGCTGTGAGTTCCTTCTCTAATCTTCTGACTGAGAGCAGCAAACAGACCGCGCAGCAGCAAGCGCTCTTTCTGAAAGAATACCTCACTATTTTGAGTAATAAGCTGAAAAGCAGCAAGGAAGAAGTTGAGATACCTTTACTGCCAGTGCCAAAATTGGAAAGCGACTCCATTAAGGTCCTAGTCGGACCGAGTCAGCCTCTGACAACTCCCGGCAGAATTCCAGCGGCTGCAATAAGTTTTGATAGGCCGGAAGATGCTCAGTCTGAAGTCAGATGGAATCGGTTAGAAGAAATGCTTGTTACGGAAGCAGAGGGTAATGCCCCGATGATTTTCAAACCGACATCAACGCTTCACACCTTTAACAAGTTGCAGAAAAATCTAACCACCAATCCTCCCATGGCCATTGTCAATGAACCCATCCAGATACAGATTACTATGGCGAATATACTTCAAACCGTTCTGAATCTTAAAGACATCTACTTAATTTGGACGTTCAGTAGTAATGAAAGTGAAATAATTTCGAACGATGTTAATACAACTCGGAACACGGACGATTTCGTCAAAACACATGTCAACAAGGCCGCAATAATAGAAGGCAATCAAAAATTAGATGTAACCTTATCTTTAACCCCTTTAGTAACCGGCAAAATAACCATTTTGGGGGTGTGCTACACCATAACCACCACAGACACGATATTCATTAAAGGAAAACAATTCATAGACATTCCAACACTACCCACCAAATCGCAAGCCGCAGGTACCACAAAGCTGGAAATCAACGTGGTGCCATCGGCACCTTGCTTACAGGTGACATTTTCCGAGCTAAATTTGGACCTGCTAACAAACGAAATGCAACGCGTATCGGTCGAGCTAAAAAACAGCGGATCAGTCGGCCTTAAAAATATTTTAATGGCGACATCGAGTCCGAACCTATTGAGCAGTTGCGAGTTCAAATCCGCCCAATATTATCCAGGAGAAAGAGTTATGTCGAAAGAAAAATGGGCTAGGAAAAACCACATTACCTCTGTGCCACTGGCTGAAGGCAAACTGGAGCCAGACCAGAATGTCAGCATACATTTGTGGGTTAAAGCCCCCAACGTTAAGGGGCCTGCGCCCATTGATTTGCTTTTATATTACGAAAATATGCACCCAAATGCCATACCCAAGTAAGTAACTAATATCGTCACAAATCTCCTATAAAATGATGTATTGTTTCTCTTAGGTACAGATTAGTTAGACACAGTTGGAACTTGACGGTGCAAGAATCCATATCCATGGATATAACTCTTCAAGAAAGCCACAACTCCAACAAAGTGGAAGAATTAGTAATGGCAATCAAAGCGACAAACTTAAATGAAGTTCACAGTTCGATCTCCACTGAAGTGACCCTGCTGAACATTGGAGTGTACAGCAAGTATTGGAAATTGATGAAAAACATAGTAACTCCCAAGTATATAAACCTCAGCACTCAAGAATCCGCGCATATCCTACTGAAATCGAAACGAGTGAACAAGGAAAAACCGAAATTCTCCATAATGCCTCTATATAGCTCTGAAAGAAAGCACATACAACACCTGAACAACGCATGTCTCTCTTTCGCCGTCAAAACTGAACAATACAAATCAACGCTAACAGAATCGGAAAGCATCGCATCGGACTTCGATTCGGATCAATTTAAAGACGGCCTGGTATTTTTGCAGTGGCAAGCCCTAGTCACCGATGCCACCAGCAAAAAAATCGTTTACGGTCAAAATCTCCTACCCCTTCAACTGAACCGATACAAACCTGCTGCGCAGATCACGCGCGAAGTCGATGCGCTGTGCGTCGACATCAACGACAAGCTAAGCGAAAAAATTGTGGAGCACCATATGAAAATCCTGCAGAAACAATTGACGTACAACTTGCTGTTCACCTCCACCGTTCTGCATGATTTTAACAAGAAGACACTCTGCATTGTACCAGTCAAACTGCAATTGCACAGCGTTTCAGAGGAGGAGATCCTGGTCACTGTTAATACCATCGATACTTGGTAAGTCATCATGTCTTTACTCTTATTAGAACGGTTTTGGGAACATTATGTAAATATAATATAAAAATATTATATATTATTTACAGAGTCCACAGATAGACTTAACTATACTTGTAAAAATATTTATTTTCAAATTGTTAAATATATTTTTTAAAGGTCTAATATGAAGAACTTGTAAGGAGAAACCAAAAAGCCAAATAAAGTTTTTTCATGTGAGAAATCCCATCCCAAAACTAGATAATTACCATTATGTAAAATATGTGGTAACTCATGAACTACTTCAACAATGTTCTTAAAATACGTGATAAACTATGTAAACATCCTATTTTGCCAAAATTTGAACTTTCTAGCTTCTTCAGTTTCTGAGAAATCCAATCCCAAACCTGGATAATTATCATTATTTAAAATAGGTGGTAATTTATGAACTACTTCAACAATGTTCTTTAAATTTAAAATACGTGATAAACTATGTATACAACCTATTTTGCCCAACTTTGAACTTTCTAGCTTCTTCAGTTTCTGAGAAATCCCATCCCAAAACTGGATAATTATCATTTTGTAAAATATGTGTTAACTCATTAACTACTTCAACAATGTTCTTTAAATTTAAAATACGTGATAAACTTTTGCCCAAATTTGAATGTTCTAGCTCCTTTAGTTTCTGAGAAATCCCATCCCAGAACTGGATAATTATAATTATGTAAAATAGGTGGTAACTCATGAACTACTTTAACAATGTTCTTTAAATTTAAAATACGTGATAAACTGTGTATACATCCTATTTTGCCCAAATTTGAACTTTCTAGCTTCTTCAGTTTTTGAGAAATTCCATCCCAAAATAGGTAATTATCATTATGTAAAATAGGTGGTAACTCATGAACTACTTCAACAATGTTCTTTAAATTTAAAATACGGGATAAACTATGTATACAACCTATTTTGCCCAAATTTCAACTTTGTAGCTTCTTCAGTTTCTGAGAAATCCCATCCCAAAACTGGATAATTATCATTATGTAAAATAGGTGGTAACTCATGAACTACATCAACAATGTTCTTTAAATTTAAAATACCTGATAAACTTTTGCCCAAATTTGAACTTTCTAGCTCCTTCAGTTTCTGAGAAATACCATTCCAAAAACTGGATAATTATCATTATGTAAAATAGATGGTGACTCATGAACTACTTCAACAATGTTCTTTAAATTTAAAATACGTGATAAACTATATATAGGTATATCCTATTTTGCCCAAATTTGAACTTTGTAGCTTCTTTAGTTTCCGAGAAATCTCATCCCAAATTGGATAATTATCATTATGTAAAATGGGTGGTAAAATCAATTCAGGTCCTAACTTAAGTGGTCCTATTATTTTTTTGAAATTTAAATCTCATTTTGTGATTAGGTTGTTGCTTTTAATTAACATGTCTACAATGTATACAATTATTTGTTAAAATTTTAAAACTAATATCTGAAATTTTCAATATCAATTTAAATATCTTGGTATCAAAAACTCATATGAAAAAACTTCATTTAACTTTTGATTTTTCCTTACCAGCCCTTTATATTAGCGCTTCAAAGAAATATTTAAATATTTTTAATTCTGAAAATCTGTATTTTTGCTCATCCTGTACAATAAAATGGATGTTTCTTAACGCGAATCGTATTTATAAACAAGCAAAAGAAATTATGAAAAATGACTTTTCCTCTAAAAATTGTATAGTTAAGTCCATCCGTGAACACACTGTATAAATAATAATATATGTGTTATTTTAGATCTGAGGCATTCACGGCCCCAATTGTTAGAGAAAACTGTATTTTCATGTTGTTTGTCTCTTAATACTTAATCCCTAAAGATGGGTCTATACCAGAAAATCTAGTTATCTCTAATGTAATGTGTTATTTTTTATTTCAGCGTTCAAATAAACTACCTTCATGCGAATATAGCGTACCCCTTGGCATCGAGTCAGTTTCGTTGGTTGGGTAAAAATAAAATAATGAAGAAGATGTATCCGCTGTCCACATCGACGGTCAGATTAAATATGGCGGTTTCCGGACCCGGTATTTTTAATTTGGGTGCAAGAATCCAAATACTGTGTCGCCCAAAAGATTGCAGTAACGTTGATCGTAAAAATTCCGTTGTTCAATCTTGCGAGTTACAATCGTCGTTGGTGGTTAAACAAGTCGAAAATTTGAGTTAATGTTTTGTTGTGTTTAATTTTGTATTTTTATTCATTATGTGTAAAGAAAAATCATGCTATGGATAAATGACTTAACTTTACACAATAACAAGTTTATAATAAATTATTGTTCATATATCGTTTTTTATTTTCCTTTAGTATAATATACGTCAATAATCAAAATTTAATTTAGTATTGCAGATGTAGTGTTCTTGAAAGGTGTCAATATCGCGTCGATAATATAAACACGACCTATTTTTATCGTTTATGATTTTAAGTCTAAATTTAATTATGCACATAAAATGTAAAAATGTTTGCCGGAAAAAAACTTTGGTTTAACTTAAGCTGCCTCAATAAATACCGTAAGTTATTCTGTTAATTAATTAATTGGGTTAACAAATGAATTAATTATAAATGTTGCATGAGCAATGGTTAAAATTAAATTTGGGCGGTTACATGTTGGTGGTGCCATCTGCTGGTAATATTATAGTGTAAAAATTGACAGTGCGGGTTTGTCGATAAAGTAGGTATCTTAGTGAGCTGCAAGAGTACAGTGACGTATCAAGATGGCTTAACGTGTTAATGGTGTTTTTAGGCTTTTTCGTGTTTAGATAGTCGGTATACGAAGAGGGTGTGCTTGAGGAGTAATTGAAGGTTCGTATGATGTTGTGTGTGTTGTTTAGGTGGTGTATAGCGGGCCCATTAAGGTAGCACATGTTTGGTGTACGGAGGCGGTACGCCAATGGATGGTGCAATGTAGTTTTAGAGGGGTATAGCGTATACTAAAATAAGTAGCTTACGGCTAGCCGACAATTCAGTCTACCGTGGCGGGATGGAAGTTCCTTCCATCTTGGTTCTAACTCCTTGTTAACAAGCCGGCAGTTATCCACAGAAAAGATCCGACTAATTTCAAAGAAATAAGTTATATTAATCGGTAAAGGTTATCAAAAGTTGATATGTGCCCCATAATCGGATTAATCGGTTTATAAATTCAGTCTGTGGAATGAACTAGGTATGATGTATTTAAGTGTAGGCTAAAATCCATTCTCATTAAACTACTCTGTCTGTACTATCTGTCTGTATAGTACCTTACCTATCTAAAAAGGGGCAATGCTAGGCAATGGCGTGCAACGCTTTTATTGACTATGACACTAACAAAATTTGAGGATTCTGATTCTGAATGTAGTTATGCTGATTAAATGTTCTAGATTAGCAAAACTGAGCTTTAAACAAGGTAACTTGAGCCAGTATTAGCTATATACCTAGTTTTACATTATATACAGGCTGATTCAAAAGTACAATACTTTTAAATCACACTGTATGTTACTTTTTCTCCATCGATGCTAACTAACCATTGTTTATTTCAGTTTGTAATCCTAGATATCAAACTTATGTTGGAAAGTTGGTAACAAGCCTTGTGCATTATAAAAGTATGGCAGTGCCCAGTCGTGCTAGAGTTTATTCCGATGTGAATTCTCACAAGCCCAGGGAATACTGGGATTATGAAAGTTATGTTGTTGACTGGGGTCAACAGGACGATTATCAACTTGTTAGAAAGCTCGGCAGGGGCAAATATAGTGAAGTTTTCGAAGCTATCAATGTTACAAATAACGAAAAATGTGTAGTCAAAATTTTAAAGGTAAGTCTATGCACCAAAAATATTTCTTTATCTTGTTTTTTTAATTCAATATCAGGATCAAAGTCAAAATTTAAAAAGATAATAAAACTTTCACACACATTTTAAGGAAAGTCAATTTATAATATTTTATATATATTTTTTTGACACTCCTGAAACACCATATAAAATATATAGGGATATATTTCTTTTACTATTGAACATTTTTACTGCTTTTTTAAATTTGTAAGCATATTTTATGCATTTTTTTTAAACATACATAATGTGATTTCTCATGCATTTGTCTTATTTGTGCGCGTGTTCAAAATATAGGTACATGGGACATAATAATTTTAACCTCAATTATACCTGTGCGCGCATTCTACGCATGCGCAATTAAGCTTTTGCTTTCCTATCTCAGAATAGTTCAGAACTTATTAAAAATAACTGTAATGTATATGAATGGGGTTAATTTAGGATTGAATTGTAATGTGGGTTGTATTTACTTTCAGCCTGTAAAAAAGAAGAAAATTAAAAGAGAAATAAAGATTTTAGAGAATTTAAGGGGCGGTACAAATATAATAACATTAGAAGCAGTAGTGAAAGATCCGGTGTCGCGGACTCCAGCATTAATATTCGAGCACGTGAACAACACGGATTTCAAACAGCTTTACCAAACACTAACAGATTTCGATATTCGCTATTACTTATACGAGCTGCTTAAAGCGTTGGACTACTGTCACAGCATGGGCATAATGCATAGGGACGTGAAACCTCACAACGTGATGATCGACCACGAGAACCGAAAATTGCGTTTGATCGATTGGGGTCTGGCGGAATTTTACCATCCAGGTCAGGAGTACAACGTCAGGGTGGCGTCCAGGTACTTCAAGGGCCCCGAATTGCTCGTCGACTATCAAATGTACGACTATTCTCTCGACATGTGGTCCTTGGGCTGTATGCTCGCATCAATGATATTCAGAAAAGAGCCCTTCTTCCACGGTCACGACAACTACGATCAACTAGTGCGCATTGCCAAAGTCCTAGGTACTGAAGAGCTTTTCGAATATCTAGACAGATACCATATAGAATTAGATCCACGATTTAACGATATTTTAGGAAGGTAAGTCCCTTTTTATATATTTAATCCTACTAAACACCCTGTATATTGGAAATGAATCAACACAGATAATCTTTTGCTTCTATAATAAGATAATAATGCCTGTTTAGGCAGGACTACTTAGCAATTGTGACAGTTTTATTAAATAATTTTTATTTTATTTGAATAAAATATTTTGTTATCGGCACACGCAATTTAAATTCTAATTCTCTATTTATTTTATTAGATTATTATTAAGCGCATCCTTTTAATTTTGCTTCAAAGGGCTTTGAGGTCAAAATGAATCAATAATAGTTTTACACGTGATTAATTTGTCCTTGAAAGTACACTATATATAAGTGACATTGTTTTAGTTTTTGCGATTTTTATTAATACTTTAAACCACAATTCTTTTTAAATAAGTCACCGAATTAAACTTGAGATTGTTTTGTTTATTTGGTCATTTGATAAAAAAAGTTATGTTTAATTTTAATATACCAAGTGACCTGAAATTGAGGAATATGGGTGGCACCACCCAATTACCGCCATCTTAGTTTATTCCTGCCATTGTATTTAAATGATATTTTAAATTTAAATTTTATTCTCAAATTTCTATAAAATTATTCGATTTTTAGATTAAATTGTCGAATAATTTGAAGATAAAATATCTTGTTTTAAAGCCATTTATGAGTCAAATGTTTTCAATAAATGAAAATGTTCTGTTTTAAAGCAAATACAAAGAATGAAATAAAAAGTGTCAAGTTACAACATTAACATTGCAAGAAAAATGTAAACAACATATTTTTTCTAATTTATTTGTTACCAAATTGTATTTACAAATAATTGCAATTTAGGTTTAGTTGCCAAATAAAAACCCTAAATTGGTCACCATGGAGCCAGCATTTTATAAAACAAACTAAACTTGTAAAAAATATTATATTATGCTTTTGGAATGTTTCAATTCCAGGCCATTTCATTATGTTGTAGTTTGAGTTTCTGTTATGTACTGTCCTTGAAGATCATCTTGGCACAATGCAAAAAGAAAGATTTAATTTTGGTATTTTCAAATATATTTATTTTATTTATTTTCAAAATTTATTTTTATTTCTTACACTGCATGCAGTACTTGATTTCTTAGAGTTTGAGTTTCTGTCACAGGCTGTCTTCAAAGATCATATTATGCTTCCTGGTTTTGTCCTATTTTTTACTGTAAAAAAACTATGATTTATATTGATTTTTCCAATTTTATTTTAATTTCTTACAAAGTACTTGATTTCTCTTTTGACAGATCAGCTGTTAAGTGTAAAGTTGAAACTGTATCCACTTTTAAAGACTTTTTTATGGGAATGTATGTTTTTTCAATCGAATTTTCCTTCTTATAGCAACAACTATCTTCAAAGTAAATGGAACAAACAAAAATATTAACCTAAATTATTTTTTTATTTATATATCTGCCACAGATAATCTGTGTATACAAAAGGAAAGTACCTCTTAAAAAACTACTGCTATTTAATTGTTTTTAAAATTAATCTAATTGCTATTCTTAACATAAATTTTTTCAACCCCATACTAAGGAAATGTATTGGATTTCCAGGTTTTTTTCTTTTGGCATTGTTTTTACAGATTTTTTTACACTTTAAAATATCTTAAAAGTGGTGGAAACAGATGCGCAAGAATAGGGTTGGGACAGTTGAAATTTTCAACTTTGAAGGTTTCAAACTTGAAATATTTAATTTAGTTGGAAAAATGAAATTTTTGAAAATTTCAAATGAAATTTTCAATCCGAAAATTTCAACATTGCCTGTGAATTTTTCTGAAATTTTATTGAAAGTTTCGCAATTTACTGAAAATTTCGCATAAATTTCATATGCGGCCTCCCCTGGGACCTTTAATAATAATTTACAACAGATTCCAAATCGACCAATAAGAACAAGTTATCAAGCGTCTGGGCGTTTTTGTTTAGTTCGGCTTGGATTTGAATACACTATAAGTAATTATTGTTACTTATATGCATAAATTAATTTAAATAATTTAATTCAGTTACCAATTTAATTTGTAAATTAAATCAGACTCTAAAATTTTTTTTAAAGTCATGATTAATTTAAACTTTTTCTTTTGCTATAATTGCATCGGAAAACGGATAAAAAATGCCTTTGGCTCATAAAATTTTGATGAAGTTTTTTCAATTTTCGTAAAATTTCACTAAAATATTTAAAAATAATAAATATAAAACAATGAAGGTGGCACAATCTCATTAGCTTACCAAAAAGTGCTATATCTCTTTTAGTTTTAGTAATTTTAAAAATATTTTAAAAGGAAATCTCAAGAAATTTGTGGTAAACATAGGTATTTACTATTTATATTATTGGTGCAGGGGCCCACAGAGGGATAGGAGGTAAGAGAGGCAATTTGCCATGGTCCCCGAGTGGGCTTATTTCAATATTAATATGTTACACTTAAAGTGATTGAAACTTATTGAAAGTTTCAATAAATTTTATGAAATTTCAGAAATTTAGGAAATTTTAATAAATTTCATAAGTGTCATGAAAATTTCAAGTGAAATTTCAAGTACAAGCAAAATGTGAAATTTTCCCAACCCTACGCAAGAACATACAGTCCGTTCAGAATAAAACCGAATATATCTATTTATATATGGGGCGTGGCCTCGCCTCCCTCCAACGCGCGACACAGTAGCTAAGCAAATAGACTGCATCGCTAATGAGATTTTTTGCATTATTATCATTTAATTTTTTAAGTCCTTACCTGCTCGACCTTTCGTCATGTCGTTTATCACACAAGCTACTGTGACGCGCCTTGGAGGGAGGCGAGGCCACGCCCCATATATATATAGATATATTCGGTTTTAATATGAACGGGCTGTATCTTGTTTTGTTGTATTATGGTAAGAGTGAGACTGAGGTTAAATGTGATTGTTGCAGACATTCGAGGAAACGATGGGAGCGTTTCGTTCACAGCGAAAATCAGCATTTGGTTTCGCCCGAGGCGCTGGACTTCTTGGACAAACTGCTGCGCTACGACCATCTGGAACGGCTGACGGCGCGCGACGCCATGGACCACTCGTACTTTTACCCGGTGGTGAAGGAGCAGTGCCGCATCATGTCGACCGTGTCGTCGTCCCCCACCCCTTTGACCGGCAACCTGTCGGTGGTGGGCGTGGGCGAATAGCCGCCCTCCCGGCCCCCCTCCTCGTCCTCGTCCTCCTCCACTTCCCCGACTTCTTCTTGATCAGCCCAGCCACTGTGTCATCTTCCCTATTATCGTCCGGAACGATTGTGGGCTATCAGTTATCGTTTAACGGCAAGTTTATTTTCTTATTTTTCATATCTGCATATTATTTTTTGTTTATTGATTTTCCCACGACTAGTAATGTTGACCGCTTCAAATGATTTTATTCAAGATACACATACCGTATTAATATCTGCGGCGGTTGCATATTGGCATTACTCATCCATTCAATTATAATTATTACCAGTAAATAAAAAAATGGAAATATAGATTTGTTACCAATACTTGTAACAAAAATTGTATGTAGTTTTTTCATATGCGATGTACTATATTGTTAAAATATGTGTAATTGTAATATTTTTTCTATTATTAAAATTGAAAACAACAAATACCTATCTCTACATATTGGAATTTGTTCGCAGAAAATTTCTAGTAGAGCAACGTAAATGATTCTTGTAAATTACTATTAAAACTCATTCCCTTCAATCTACTAGTAACTTTCTGAATCAATGTAATTCACACTGATTACTGGAATAAAAAATATGTAAATTATTTATGTTTATTTATGAGACTTGTTGTATTTAAGTTGTGCAAACCAATACAAAAAACTTTGGCTTGTACGAACGTGTGCCGTTTGACTACAGCAGCTTTATTCGTGTCATGTCATGTCATGTTTTATACTGGCGTGCGTGAAAACTTGAAAACATGAACTAAACTGAACATTCATTTTTATGTTTGTAACAACTACTATCTGAACAGATTAACAACAGACGGACAGATTTTTTAAAATCAATTTGTTCTCAGTTATTTCGTTTGTAAATTATCTTTTTGCAATAAACTTTATAAGAAAATTTCACACAATATTTTATTTATTATCCTACCACATCATTTTTAGTAACTATGTGGCTCCCGTCCCGAGGCGGGACTTAAGTTCAGTCCCGATTGACGTCACACACTGTAAATCCGTTTTTATTCCCCGAGATTTTATAATTTGTGTCAAGCTCGATGGCTTAGATGGTAGGGCGGTCGCTTGGCATGCGAGAGGTACCGGGTTCGATTCTACTAGAAGTTGTCAAACTTTTTTTATTTTATAAATTTGTTGTTTCTTTGTTAAAAAGTGTTTTATTTTTATAGTAACATAAATTTGCCCATTTTAGTTGGGTTTTTTGCTCAATGGGGCGGGGGGGGGGGGCCAATGGGGCGGGGTCGGTTGGGTTGTGTTGTTGAGTTTGGGTTGGTTTGGTTTTACGACGTAACTAAAGTGCCCTTAACATGTATACAGGTACAATTTATTATTATTATTATTTTATTATAACATAACAAATCTTAAAATTATGACGTCAATCGGGACTGAACTTAAGTCCCGCCTCGGGACGGGAGCCACAGCGTTTTAGTAAATTTTAACTTTAACCATTTAGAACTGTTGTTGCCAACAAAGAGTCAGCCCTTCTACTAGTCAAACATGAAAATCCTACTAATTCGGCTAAACAGAACTACAACATATATTTGTTATATGAACCACAACCAGGACTTTTCATTTAAAAATAATTTGGACAATAAAAATTCTTGAAATAAAAAAATAAACAAAAACAGCCATAAAACGTATACTCAGTGTGTCTCACTGTTATAATTATAATATTCTGTGATAATGATTTTTGGTAGGTAACATTTTATTACTGCAAAGTTTGCAGTGCAAACTATTTCAAATCCTACTGTTCTACTAATGATGAAATTTTCTACCGAGGCCCAAAGATAAAGAATGCCTTTCCGAAACTACTAAATTTGGCAACACTGTCTAAGACGTGATTTTTTCGTGGCACGAAATTATTGATAAAGATAACAGTAAATTTAAAATTTACTTCGGCTTTGCATGCATAGATGGCGCCGTGAACCAAAATGTAATAATGATAATTAAAATATCCCAGAAAACACATAAGTCTGATTGTGTAATGGCCCATTACATAGTTTCATGGCTTAATAATTTTTAGCCAAAGCTTTCCTTGTACTGGGCCTTTACAGCGAGTACCCATCTGGATCTCGGAATGATGACTCATCGCCGGTGAGTCAGCGTTCGAGCAATCGAAAGTACACCGGAGCTCGCTGGAATGTTCGGGAAGGCGCTTGCGGGACGTGTGTCACGTAGGCACTGATTATATAAGGAACAGCGCAGTATGGAGCAGTTGGTGGAGCTTTGGTACTCGCGACGTAATAAATAAAATATAATTGCAAATAAATAGACTCTTGTAAACGTGACATAATATGTACAGTTCCTTTATAGGGCCTTTAGTTCATTAAAGGTACGTTTAAAAAGGGCCATTATAGAACCTTTACGGTTGTGTTTGCTGGGATACTACTTTTTTGCCTAGTAGGTATTCATTTTTAATAAAAATCCGAGTAGTTTTTACAAAGTTTTGTCAATTATATTTGTAATAATAAATAATTATTTAAATAGTGTAAAGTTGTAAAAAAATTTAAATCTAAATAAAGCGATTCCACCTCGACCGATTTTTGGGCTACTTGTTTAACAAATAGTGAAAAAAAGTTATTAAATCAATAATGATAAAAGAATCCAAGGAAATTAAAAAGGGTCGTTGCTAGGTAACCGGTAACAATTTTGGTTAGTGATTCGACAAGTGTAAACTTCATTGGTGCTATAAGAAAAGGTAACGGTCTATGTATATGACATGATATGAGATTAAAATATCGTTCGTATTAAGTTAAAATATGGCTTGCGTGTATGGTTTGTATTTGCGTGTAGGCGATTTTTTTCGTTAAAAATCCAGTCCTCTCGTTGTATGCTATTATCGATTGTTTTTGCAAAATTGCATTGTTATGTAGATTTCCGCAGATATTTATTTCTATAGAAAATTATCTCTATGGAAAGCAATTAACCAATCAGAGCACGGTATTCTCCACAGCACACTCTAATTTTATTCCCTTCCATATATAGAGATAATGTTTTATAGAAAGTTTCAAAAAACACTAGTAAGCTTGTAATAATTAATTTTTTTTATGTGGGAAAATTAACTATTGGCTGAAATGCGTTTTACTAAATGAATGGAAGTGTTGAAAACGATTTTAATCAAGTGGTGCAAGGCGCGTCGCGACGCCTCCAAGCCAAGCAATAAGGAAACACGTTGGGGGGATTTTTAGGGAGAACACAATAACCAATTCAAAATCGATCCCCATTCTATGAGACTATTCGTGTTGCAATAGTAATTTGATTTTGATTTAGAACACGTAAATATAAATGAACATGTTTATATATCTTTCGTAAACAAAAGATTTTTAAAAACAATTTTTTTTAAATTAAGGTAATTTTGAAAATTAATCCCGGCGCATTCGCCATTTTTGAACGTCAAAAATGGCGAATGCACGGGGGGCAAGTGCAATAATTCCTAAACTTACAAATTGTGCCGTACATTAAGACTAGGTACTCCATAAAACTACATTAAAAGTACTTGTTCCAAAATTAATAGTTTTAAAACCAACTTGCTATTCAATCCTTTAAAAAAGCCCTTATTGCTAAGAATGTTCTTAGGGACTTTAAAAACATTCAATAGATAACCTTTTAATGATGCAATTAGATTCTTAAAAGCTTCTTAAAACCTTCCTAAAAAGCATCCTAAGAACATTTTAAGAATACGTTTTTGGAATGTTCTTAGAAGAAATTTCTTATGGAGCTTCTAGGAAGCTTTTGAGAATATTCTTAGAAGAAATTTCTTATGGAGCTTCTAGGAAGCTTTTGAGAATATTTCCAAATATGTCAGATACCCACGTTCTAATATGTTGTATTTTACATTCGTAAAATTCTTCAGGAGACGACAAATACGCCTCACTGTCATAATGTGACAGTGAAATGTATTTGTCGTCCCCTTAAAAACAATTTGACGTCTAAACCATAAGTTGTAAGACAAGGAAAATTTTGTGGGATAAGTCAGATTAGATTGAAGTTGAAGATAGTTAGGATTATTATACATAAAAATGTTAATTCAGAAATAAAAATCGGTATTCAAATTAATAAATATTTATTTTTAACATAAAATAAAATACCCATAGTAAAAGTATTTTTGTTATCGAATATTGTTTTAATTTGACAAATAACTATAAAAAATATTTTGGATTGTGTTTTTTACTTTGTATTTAATACTAATTACTAATTAGGTACTTAAGTATACCTTTATACGTAGGTTATGGTATATTTTACTATTATATAGGTAACTGAACTAAATATGCTTAACAGGAATATTACTAAATGAACTTTCTATAGCAATTACTTTCTTAACATTCTAAGCATATGTTTAGAGTAGACTAATTTTTACCACTAAAACTTTGCACCTTCTAAGAACCTGCCTATACGCCAGTAAGAATATTCTTAGGATCAGGCTATATTTGTTTTAAGCATGTTCTTTAGAAGATATAGCATGATCCTAAGAATATTCTCACTGGAAGGTTTAAAAAACATTCTTAGAATAAAGTGTGCTATCAGGGATAGGGCATTAAGAGCAAACATATTTTTTTATTTCAATTTAAAGAGTACATTTAATTATTTGCATAAGAACTTTAAACCTAATATCGTTTTATTGAACCCTGAATAAATCAAAAGTATCTAACAATTGTTAATTGTGTATGCGCTTTGTAAATTTGACGAAAAAACCTTTTAGACGTAATTTGCAATGCACGCAAACTGCTCTAGTTTGTCATATCGATTTTATTTTAATTTAAATCTATATCACAACAAAGGGAAAAAAGGCAAAACCGTTTTTTTTCTTCAGATGTCGAAAGAAAAGTCGAATAGCCCGAGATTGAGCATGCGTGGAGGCGCCATGGTTATGAAGGGAATAACAATTTTCCTGGCTAGTGCGAGAAATAACCAATTGGCGAACGCGGCTCAGGCAAATTCAAAACAAAAGTCGCGCAAAAAGAAAATGAACGAAAAAGATAATATTTTTAAGTGCTCGCCCAAAATTATTGAAGCGGCCAAGCGCGACACCTTATTTAACAGGTACGTTTGTACTATTTATTTATACACTGCGCGTCAAAATAAACGCATAATAAGTACAAAAAATTCTAACTCTAAAATGCCTTTACTAATATTTATGAAATTTTGTATAAAAATACTTCAACTTATATCTCAGTTTACGTGTTCAAGGATTTTTATTTAATAATAAAAAAACGTTTGAAAAAAAATTTTTTTAGTAAATAAAAAATATGCTGTTAAAGACCGTATTTTTGTTACTATACCCTGAAAATGTTGTACAAATCAAACGAACAGTAACGTAACAGTGCTTCAAAGTCGGTAAAAATGACCCCTTTTTGATTATTTTGCTGAAAAGTGGTCATTTTTGAAGACTTTAAAGAGCTGTATTTTCGTTACTGTTTGTTGGATTTGTACAACATTTTCAGGGTATACTTACAAAAATACGGTATTTCACAGTATTTTTTTATTTACTTAAAAAAATTCCCTATAAAAGTTTTTTTTCGAGCGTTTTATTATTATTAAATAAAAGGGCTTTAAGGATATTTTCTCGAAAAACCCTTGAACACGTAAACTGAGATATAAGTTAAAGTATTTTTATCCAAAATTTTATAAAGATTGGTAAAGGTGTTTTAGAGTAAGACTTTTTTTACTTATTATGCGTTAATTTTGACGCGCAGTGTTTATATATACAGGTTGGCTCAAAAGTTTGGAATATTGAGATAGAGGAAGTGAGGGTATTTTGGAATAGTAGTTTAAAAAAAAATAGCAAAAAATTTAAATTTAAATTATTTCGATTAAAATAAATAACATGTCCAAGATCTACATTTGTACTATGACCTACGAAAATTTTAAAAAATTTTAAATACTTTAAAAGGATTTTTTCACTAATGAAAAAAAAAGTGTAAAAAATCTCTGTTTTCGTTACATGAAGTTAATTTGGAATACCACCAATTTGGAATATTTCAAAGTAGCAGCAAATGTTTTTTATTAAAAAGGTTAATAAAACATTTTTATGCACGATGACATTATAATATGACAATTATAACAAAAATTCTTTGACGTAAACGTCTTTTTATAGCCCGCGGGCGTTATTATGACCCAGCGGGCTATAATGAAACGTCAAAAATTAAAAACAACAATGTTACACCATTTGATATATTCGAAGTAAGTTTTTTCGTATAAAGATTTTGATTTTTCCGGCAGCAGGCCGCAATTTTTCGCCTTTTCAGCTGCTTCCTCAATTTCATTCATCTTTAAACTTTAAAACTGACTGATGTCAGTTGACATTATAATATGACAATTATAACAAAAAATCTTTGACGTAAACGTATTTAAAAACAATAATATATTAAAAATAATAATATATTAATCGTGCATAAAGTTTTGTATGCATTGCTGGCATAACTGGTTTTTATGGTCCTACGACGCTTTTCTAGCCCTCGCGCTAACGCGCTCGGGCTCGAAATAGCGCCTCGGACCATAAAAACCTTATTATGCCCTTAATACATAAATAACTATTAAAAGGTAACCAAATATAAATAAAAAAAAAAAATTGGACTGATTATCAAATATTACAAAAAATGAATATAATTTGGAATATTTCAAATTTGCATTATTTATAGTATTCCAAATTAGCAATATAAAGACCTACGCCATAATATGTAAAAAAAAGTAAATGCTTTAACATATCGAAAAAGTACAATTAACAACTAAAAATATAACCCTTTACTTACCTGAGGATACAATTTAAGTTAATTTAAAGATAAAAATCGAAGCTATGATTGCCGATTTAATTACCACTAAAAAAGTTTTAGTTACCCCACAATTAATTTTTCACATGTGTTGGCCCTCTACCACAAATCAAAATATCTACAAAATCACATGTCCACAAAATACAGGCTATTCTAGTAGTTTATTTCATAATTAACGAGATGGCGCTAAGCATAGCTTCAATATTTAAGTATTCCAAATTACCAACAGTATTCCGAATTACCCCCACTTCCTCTACTTATCCCAGGTATTTCCGAACAGGTGAATTGGGTCAATAGAGTGGCCTGCCAGGTCTCCAGACCTAACACCATTGGACTTTTTTATTGGGTCATTTCAAGTCAGTGGTGTACAAAAATAGGCCGGGCAATCTTCAGGTTCTCAGAGAAATAATAGTTAATGAAATTCATAATGTTCAAGACGTTTGGATGCAAAATATAATATAAACTATTAAACACTCAATATTCGAAACTTTAGAGCCCCTCTGTAAATACGCAACTTTTGGGACACATTGTGTATAATTTAAAAAAATTTATTATTTTTTAAGGTACGAAATTGAAGCGTTGTACAAAATTTACCGTAAACTGGTTACTATAAATAAATTAAAAGAAAAAAAATCGAATCCTTCAGCAAATCCTTCCTCAATTATTGGGAAACCTTCATCAATTAATGAAGTAATTATAAATATTCATTTCATATTAATTACCTAATAAGAAATTATAGACAAAGTTCTATAACATTTATAAAGACTCTTGTAGGAACAAAACTTAATTTATAGACTTATGTATGTCTAGCCCGTCACAAGACTTTACTATTATCATAATTTTTTTTAATTTAGGGAATAGACCGAAAAGTCTTTCGTGAAATTCTGCACAACACCTTCGACATAGTTTCGAAAAATCGGTTAATGGATAGAATATTTTGCGTCTGGGATAGACAAAACTATGGATTAATAAATTTGGAAAATTGGTTATTCGGCCTGTCTCTTTATTTGAAAGGTTCAAAATCTAAACAAATTGAATTTTGTTTTTTGGTTTACGATTTAAATGCAGATGGTTTCATAAGTAAAGAAGAAATGTTTCAATTGTTGAAGTAAAAGGTTTTTATTCATAAAAACATGTTTAGTTGTGAGTTTAATGTTTTAGAAATTGTTTAATAAAGCAGCCTCAAGAAGAAGATCCAGACGAAAGTGTTAAAGACTTGGTTGATATTGTTATGAGGAAATTTGATAAAGATAAAGATGGTAAAGTCTCTTTAGAAGATTTTCAAGAAACAATTGCAGAGGAGCCTTTATTAATTGAGGCATTTGGCAAATGCTTACCGTCTGAGACTTCAAAAAATACATTTTTAACCACTTTAAAAATAAATTAAATATTTATTAATAATTTGTGTATTTATTTTGTTCAAGCAAACAAACTATTTATTTTTATGGATAACCTGTCAATTGTTTTTTCATAAGGAACTAAACTAAATAAAAGTTATCTGTTAAACCAAAACAACAGTAGCGTGTCAAATTTTTTGGGGGCCCCCCCGCCAACTTTTTTTTGAGGCCCCCTATGTCATTATTATATTTTCCAAAAATAACCCATTATAGTAAATATTTATACACAATATTATTATCTAATAGTTAAAAAACACAGCGAATTTTTGAAACTAAATTTATTTCTATAAATTATTATATGTTATTATAATATAGGAGGGATGATTGAAAAGTTCTAAAAAAAAATTTCTTCTAATACAAGGAAAACATACAACAAATATTTAACTAATAAGTACAAAGATATGGAATTAAATATGCATTATTTTAAAAACAACTTATAAATATCCTAACGTTTGTACCTTAACGAAAGGAACTTAATTGTCAACTATTTTGTCTAAATCTACATCTTTAGCTCGTTCATTTTCTACTGAGATTATGGCCAATGAGCTAAGGCAATTTTGTACCATACTAGATCTCGTAAAGCTTTTTATTATCTTCAACTTTGAAAAAGTCCTTTCTGGTTGAGCCGATGTAACGGGAAGTACTAGAAACAACTGGAACGCAGTGCAAATTTCAGGTATTCTACTTAATAGTAATTGATTTTTTTCAAAAATAAAATCTGAAAACTTTCTTATGCTATGAAAATTTTTAATCTTTTCGTAAAGTAAATTTTTTAATTGTATTAGTTCCAATCCTAGATTTTGAGTTAAGTCGTTAGGATATTTCTCTATTAATACTCTGACATTAGCTAAAATATCAGATTCTTGCGCGTTTGTGGGTTCAAAATACCTGATTCTAAACTGAGTTAATATTATATCCAAACAAGCATTAAAAATTGTAACTTTTAAACGATTTTTATTATTTTCAATTGGCTCATCCGCTGCAATCTCATCAAAAAATTTTTTGACTGTACGGACTCTCTTGCTTTTCAGTTGAGGGTCAATATTCCAAGATTTCGCAGTTGAAATAGATAACATACACATTTTCAAAATTTTCTCTGATACTCTCTAATTTGGCAAGAACTCCTGATATTAGATCTGTTGCCTGTCCTATGTCAATGTCATTCTTTTGCAAACATTTTGAAAGCATATTAATATTTTTCAAAATAGTACCTTGAAAACATAGCAAGAAAATGAATTCAAAATTTTCTATTTTATTTTGTAATATCTTGGCCTCATCTCTATCACTGCGTTTTTTGGCTATTAATGTTAAATTTGATAAACACTTGACAACCGACAAAAAATTATTTTTTAACGATATTATACTATCGGACATAATTTTTTTAGAGTTAAACCAATAGTTTCACTTCTTTTTATTTCGGAGTTTAAGCTTTGCCAACGAGGTAGACTTTCACTAAAAAATACGTAGAGAGACTGAACTGTGTCAAAAAAATTTCTTATTTCGGCAATGTTGCTTACAGAGTCATTTAAAATAAGATTTAAACTATGAGTAGTGCAATGGACATAATCGGCATTTGGTTGTCTTTGTTTGATTAGAGCTTGCAGACCTGCGTATTTCCCTGCAAAAAAACTTATTTTTATAAGGTTCCATATTAATGATGATTGAACTTTTAAGACAACTTTATTTTTTTAATCAATAAAACTTATAGTGTACAATGTATATTAGTTGTCGAAAAAACATAATTTAAATGTTCTTACCGCTCATATTTGCAGCACGATCATAACTCTGGCCTCTACATTTGTCTAGGGAAATTTCATACTTCTGTAGAACTTTTAAAATATAAACTCAAAACTTAAACGTAACAAGTGAAACAACAAAGACTCGCTAATAACCGGAAATTCCCATTAAAACTGGGAATCACTGAGGTTTCGACCAGCCAGGGTTGACAATTGTTTGGGCGTTCACATTTTTTATGTTCGAAAGAAATGGTGACAAATTAAATATTGATTTGAAATGTTTAAATGTGCATATTTGTGGTTTTGGAGTTTGTTTGATATACATAGGTATTACTTTTTCTTAAAACATATTGGGGGCCCGGGGGCCCCCAATATATCGGGGGCCCCCCCGCGTGGCGGGGTCTGCGGGGCCGTTTTACACGCGCCTGCAAAACAAAAACAAATAGGTCTTTCATTCAGAAGAAATTCCGAACATGACTAAATTTTTTGACAGTTAAGCGCTTAAGCGAAAAGATTATAACTGTCAAAAAATTTAGTTATGTTCGGAATTAACTAATAACAATTGTTACACTAGTTCACAAAATCGAAAAAAAATTCTGCCCACCATATCTCATTATAATTTTTCCATGTATTTTGACCCACTAAATACGAAAATCACCAAACATTTTTTATTTATGGAAGCGTTTTTAAAATATGAATTTTCAATTGTTTTTTTTTTAATTTTCGGAGGTGTTTTGACATTTTTGAGTATAGCTTGAAATCTAATTTATCGATTTGGTCAAACAAGCCCTTAAATTGAAGGTATTTGAGCCCTCTAAAACTTTATTTTTCATACTTTTGATATCGGATAAGTACTTTGACGCTAGCGATTTTAATAACTCAAAAAATTCGTTTTTATGGCAAAAATTGAGGTCGAAAATTTACATATCGTCCTGAAAAAGGTGTTTGGATTTTTTTCGTGAAGCTGACATTTTTACAAAAAAAAACAAGCTAATGTTGATAAAAATATACGAAAAAATGGCAAAGTTATGAATTTTTTAGTGGAAGACCAAAATTCAGCTTTTTGACGATTTTTATTTTATTTTTTTCCTTTTATTTCGTAATATGTTTATTTTTTAATGAAAACCTAATTAAAGTGCATGATTGGAATTTTTTAAGGTTTTTACGTACTTTTTTCACCGAAAACATATAAAATTTAAATTTGACATGACTCCGAAAACGTGAATTCTTTTGTTTCTCGTGTTGGCATAGTGACATTTTACTGCTATTTTTTGATATTTTAACAGAGTATTTTTATCATGGTTTTATTTAGTTAATAAAAAGTGTAAAATAAGTAAAAGAAGTAGAGAGTTCGAGTGCGTAAATAACCCGGACAATCAGGGCGACGTTAGTGATGAGCAAGGAGAACGTTTTCACCAGCAAATGAAGGCTATGGAGCGGCGGTATCACGGCTTCTGGGATGCAGCCCTGATGGGTGATTACATTTGGTCCCTTATACGAGAAACAGAATGCGAAAGCAACAAAAAACAAATAAGCTTATTACAACAAAATAAAACTTCAATGTTCAATATTAAACTTTATATAACTCAATAAAATGAAAAAAACGTAAAAATTCTCGAAAAAACTGAATTTTGGTCTTTCACTGAAAAATTCATAACTTTGCCATTTATCTATGGATTTTTATCAACAGCAGCTTATTCTTTTCCTTTAAGTATAATCTATACGTAAAATAAATCAAACTGGACTTATCTTTTCGATTTCTATCTTTCCCAGAAAGATATGTAAATTTTTGACCTCGATTTTTGTAAAAAAGGACTTTTTAAACTTCATAAAATCGCCAGTATCGAACTACTGAGCCGATACCAAAACTATACAAGAGAAAGTTGTAGATGGCTCAATTATATACCTTTGATTTAAGTGCTTGTTTGGTCAAATCGATCAATTAGAACTCTCTAGTATACTCTAAAACGTCAAAACACCTCAGAAAATTAAAAAAAAAACAAATTAAAATAGTTTAATAGAAAAAATAAATGGTCACCTAGTATAACCAGTGACAAAATAATTTTACCAAAAGGTGAAGTGAAAAAATTGTTTTTATTGTTAACTATTCAATGGGGATTTAATTATTTTGTTTTATCAGTGTCTTTCTTCTTGTAGGCGTTTTTATAATAATTTCCAAAAAGGAAATAGAACATGACGGCTTGTAGTCCCACAAATATTAAAGAACTACGAGGATAGTCGCACTCAATAAAAGCCAGCTGAGCAGTATGAATTCCAAGAGCTACAAATTGAACCTTAAACAAAAAAAATTATTATCCTAAAAGTTATTGAATGCCAAACAGCATTTCACAGTTTTGTTATTTTTTTAGGTCCTGGATATTGCTGCCAAAATTGCTCAATGACAATGATAAGTTTAACAATGCAAAATGTCATTGTTGACAATGGGATGGGGAATCTGGCGAACTTTTTTATGTATCTAATATTTAAAATAATAATTACTCTAATTTGTACGCACCATTTGTAATGTAGTTATATATTTTTTCCACCAAAGATATTTTTGCATCCAAGGTCCAAAAGCGCTTAACATATAGTAGGCATACATTATAATATGAACAAATGAATTAATTAATGCGAAAAATGTAGCATGGCCCGCTAAAATAAACAAAGCATGTTAACAAAAATCAAATGTTTGACTTTTTTTAAGTAAAATTTTTTGCGGACAAAATTCGCAACGTAGAATAAATTTAGGAAATGGTAGGACAAATTCGCACAGCAGTTCAAAATTAAAAAATTGTGGGAAAAATATCAAAAATGAGGGGACAAATTTTAAAAAAATTAATAAAAAATAATATCACTGCTTACTAGGAGTGAATTTGATTCCAATCCAAACCGACATCGGGACACTGGTATGATGTATAACATGAAGCATGGTGATTTGATTGTATTTTTTTCGTGCCACGAAAAATACCTAAAACGCATGAAATATTAGGTACTACTTAATATAAATATTTTTAAGCACACTTACTGTATCGAAAAGTTCAATAAATTTAGAGACCAAAAAGTACCATGAGACATTGACCATCTGATAAAAAAATGTAATAAACTAAAAACAAAACCTAAAAATTCTTACCCTCAAATTATTTGGTTTGTTTGAATAATCTATGGGTTCACATCTAAAACTGTATTCTCCTGTAAGCCACCCACTCATTCCAATCTAAAATAATAAAATAATGCCACAGCATAAGCATTATTAAAATTAAATTTAAATATATATATTTCAAATTTAAAAGTTATTTTACTTGCCTCATAAAACAACCACGAGCTCAGTAACACTAGAAATGCATTGTAAACAATCAAAGTATTTCTTAATTCATAGGGTTTCCTATTTTTCATAAATTTAGGCCCCAAAACCTAAATAATATTTGGTAAATACGAGTATATAAATCGTATTAATTTGATAAAAACTCACTTTTACAAACAAAAAATAAACCAGGCAAATGGCAACAGTATATAAAGGGCTTGATAACAATACCCAATCGGCTACCCGTGGATCTAAAAATATAAATGTTATCTTTGTTTCAACAAGATTCCTGAGAAAAATTGTTTATTTTTCCAATAAACCATCATGCCATTAACTATAGTTACTACCTTGGTATTCATTGAAAAACGAGTTAATTCTTTGAAATATTTCAGCCATTGGGTATACCTAAACTACAATGTACTATTGTTAATTTTGGAATTAAATAATATATAGTATAAACTAAGTTCTACATTTATATTGTTTTATTTCTATTTGAAGAACGTGCCTTTTCGAATAAAATATTTACCTATTTTGCGTGTTAAATAACAATTTATTTTATAATATTAATATTTTTTATCAAATATATTATTTGGCTAATTAGATAAAAAAAGTATGCAGGGTAATTGTAATTATTAAAAACAACTTAAACCAATAGGTTTTCAGGGCCGAGCCAACCCAGGGTGCAAAGGGTGCACTGCGCCCGGGCGGCAACTATCGAGGGGCGGTATTTTAGAAAATATTTGAACAGAAAGTGACAGTAAACTTTTTAATATTGTAATTGATTCTGGTCCAAGTGCATGGTAGTAGAAAAGGGTAAATAAGAAAACAACTTATCCCAAAGACGCTAGCACTAAAAGTTATTGAAATAAATATTTTTGGATATTCTAAAAAATATACTCTGTGTTTTGTTTCCTATGTAACTTATTTGGGAATGCAACTATAGTTCTTTGGGGCTAGATGGATTTCGAGATTGGCAACATTTATCGCGAACCTTAAGCCGACATGAAAGTTCTAATGATCATATTAAATGTTGCAACAAAATGATTTAATTACAAACTTCATTAAAGTGTGGCTCAACAATAGATTATTTACAGGAAAAACTAATTAACAGTGAACAGAAAAGATAGTTTTCTGTTTTAGAAAGAATTATATCGGTTGTTAAATTTTTAGCTAAGCAAAACCTAGCTTTTAGGGGTAGTTCTAGTAAATTATTTTGTAATGTTACACGTTACACGTTACACGTCTAACTCGCAGCAGAGCAGCAACAGCAGCCCAGCAGATAAGACCTGAAGATGGTACATGAGATTGTACCGAAAGGTCGTCAGACATACGGTTTTTTTAAGAACCAAATACCGACAACACGGAGCAGATCCCGAAAAACAACTAATACATACATAATAATTTTATTAAGTTAAAATAGTGTTTATAAGATTTTTTTTTTCTTTAAGGGGCGGCAAGCTTTTAATTGCACCCGGCGGCAAAAACACTTGGTGCGGCCCTGTAGGTTTTAAAAAATAGTATATTATGTATCAAGTTTAATAAACGTCATTTTAGTCAAGAATTTAATATAGGCACGTGCGAGCTTGCGATATTAAATTAGTGCCTAGAAAAATATATAACATATATCTTAACTATAGTTGCATACCATACTTTTTCTACGACAAATACTTAATATTATCTAAAAAATTATTTAAATTAAATATTTCTATAAAGCGACATCTGTACGAAAATAAAGTAAGTAACCATCCCAATAAACATTTTTAACGTAATTTTCTCCATTAACATTTCACAAAGAGGGTGTTGCCATAAAATGTTTTAATTATTTTTTTTGGCTTTAAAACTCAACTAAAGTAAATAATTAATTTAATTAATTATTTAATTAATGCTTACAGTATTTTAAGTAATAATTAATTTTGTTGTTTAAGATTACCCAAGCAGCATTTTTGGTTCCAAAAACCATTACCAAAGTGGTGATAACTTTAAATTAGTTAAGTATACTAAACAGCTACTTTAATTTTTACTTAAAAGTAATTTTAACTTTTAAATAGCAATATTTTGTAACAGAAACTTCATTCTTTCCTTAAATAAAGTAATAAACATTTAAGTAAAACTTGGTTGCCCCCAAGAAGACTTTGCAACTTTAAAAAAGGTGTTAAAATTATAATTATACTTAAGTAAAAAAAACTTTCAAGTAAATTTAATTTGTAGCAGTTACTTTCGGTTGCTTCCTAAAGATTACATTATAATTATTTTTACTTTGCAGCCCCTTTGCAAGTTAAAATCTCGAAACTACAAAGTTAATAACTTAAAAGTTATTATTTTAGTATTTGGAACGTTTATGGTACTAACCAAAACTACCGTAAAGTAAATTAAGGTGGAAAAAAACTTTAAAGTAGGAAAATGCTTCTTATAGGCCATTTTTTACTGTACAGTACCACTTGGTAATGTAAATAATAAATTATTTTAATTGTTTTTAAATGGTTGTAGTAATTTTGTTGGTTATAGACGGTATTAATAATTAAATAAAAGATTTTTTTATTTATAAACATTAATTATTAAATAAATAATTTGTTTATACTTAAATATTGATGAAGCGCATTTATTTTACAAAAACTAAATTCATAAGTTCAACAGTAAAATTTAAAGGGTTTATAAATTTACATGCCCAATTAAACATTATATTGTTATTCTGAAAGTTATAAACTAACAGTAGGTACATATTTAATAAACGACGACATTGAAAAGCCAAGTCCGTAGTGGTTCCATTTAAAAAAGGAGGGATAGTATAATCTAATATAAGTTTGACAAAGACAGTTAATATAGAAGTAAAAACAAATAAATAAAAGTAATTATAACGCTCTAGCAACGATATTGAAACGTTCTAGTAACGTAGCAGCTACGTTCCAAATAGTAGCAGGGTTTATAGCTAGTGACATATTTGTTACCTTTTTGGAACTCACTTGTTCCCCACTTAAGTCGTAACTTAGTAATGAAAGAGTAATTTAAAGAGACCGGCGACTGTCGCAAAACACTTAAATAGTCCCATATACGTAACAAAACTTAAATTGTTGATTGGGATGCTTCGTTTTCGGCCGCCCTTACATAAAAAACAGATACAGAGCTTTGAGTTGTAGCAGTGCATACAATGGAAATTTAAGCTATTTGGTTTACTTATAAAATATTTACTACGTGGTTTTAGGAGATAATTTATAAAAATACAAGAAGTGTAATAAACGAAAAAGTAGCTTATGTCCGCCATCTTGGATTTAGTATGACGTTTCTCACTTTATCGTTTTCCTCTCGTCGAACCCTTTTATTTGACACCTTGTCTAGAAGGTTGTGAAGAAATAGGTAATCCGCCATTTCAAAGTGGCGGCAATTTTAAACAAATTACTACAGACACTGTATAGTATACTGCATGTATTGTCATCCATCATTCTAAGTATCTAGCAGCTAGAGTCTAGCATACTTCCGCATTTACATATATATTATAATATTAAAGTTAGGATTAGTTAAATCAAACAATCAAAATAACATTTTTCGTTTATTATGCCACTTATGATATATACATAACATGAGTTATAAGATAAGTTTATGAACAATAATAAAAACCGAAGATGGAATAATCCAATACTTATGAATCCTAATAATTGTACTTGTTTATTACTTAAGTATACTTTAACCAACGACATTTTAATGTTTTTTTATTAATAAAGTATAGGCGATCTACAATACTACAGTGACTTTGATTAATATTAACCGTGCTATAACATTTATAATATAAAAACGATAGTTTGGACAGTAAACATTCGACCGACACGCTAAATAGTTTTGTATTTAAAACAATTCTAACAATATATTTCTAATACAGTTACGCCAATGCAAATGAAATCACTCTGTATGGTCAATTTTAACAAAAAATTACACATTTTAAAACGGATATAGGGCAGTTATATCTCACATTGTATCTTTTTATTACTTAATACCTAAAAAAAATCATAAAACACAAATAATTATTGTCAACCTCAGCTTTATTCATCTAAGGCAAATTTCAATAGGCTTGACTAAATAAAAACAAATTAAATCAATTCAGATCAAATTTATTATTTACAAAAGGCATCACAAATAATAGTCGAAGCGTTATTAGAACTAAGTATGTAATTGGAATAGCGGCGTTTTAATACTTACTAAATTATAGTAATAAACAATTTTCACTCCACCCTCACACAAGAGAGACTGTGATTATTTTAACAAAAAATGTCTAGTAATTTTTAAATTCCAATTGACATAAAGCCAACATGTTAATTCTACCCTATTGCGTATTATATAAGGACCCATAACTCATATATGGAATGTATTTAAATCAGGGACAAAGAGTCAAGAACTTGAACTCTCAGTGCCTGATAAACCAAACAGATAATTTTATCTCATTGTCTCCCCTTTACCGCGAGAATAAAATAAAATTTCAACAATAAAAGTAACAAAAATAAAACGATATATATGAGTTAACAAAGGTTAATAAAATAGCGAGAATAAATACCTATGCGGAGAGAGCTTTCAGCGCAAGTCTGGGCTTTCATTGAGTTGCTTTTTAATACGTAACAAGATGGTGGTGTACCATTGATCTAAGCGCGATATGGAATCGTAATCTTTGACGGCATCCGTGAACCCGTCGACGCTTTGTTCCTCGATGTGTTCGATGAGCGTTTTCAGCAACTTGAACTCCCTCGAGTCCTGGAACGCCGGATAAGTCTGATTGTAACGCTCGAGCGCGTGCTGGGCGTTGAGCACGTCGACGCACAAATGACACAGGGCCGCCCTGAAATAGTACTCCTTCACGCTGTACTTAAGCAGGGAGCTCTCCAGCGCCGACGCGGCCACGTCCTGGTAGATTTGTATCGCTTTTTCGTAATTTTCCAGCTGCGCGGCGTACTGCGCCACTTTCAGCAAGCACTTGTTCGCGTACGAGTTGCTCTCCTCGCCTCGGAAGTAATCGGCCGCCTGTTCGTAGTGCTGCACAGCGCGCTCCAAGTCCACCGCGTCGGTTTCGTACATCTCGGCGATTGTCTGGTGGTGTTTGGCCGCCATCGTGAACCTACCCATGTCCGTGTAGATTTCTATTGCTTTTAGAAGATTTGTCACCGCCTCTGCAACAATCGAAACCATGTGTAAAAAAATCGATTCTAAAAACCGACATTTTTTTGATAATCGGTTTAAAATAGGCATCCCTAGTTAAAAGTTTTCAAATGTCACACAATCCTTAAAATAAAATGCCTTTCTTGTAAAATAATACTAAAGAGGAACTTGATTTTTTATTATCCTTGAATCATTTATTATTTAATAAACCATATAAATTTTAATAAAATCGGCCATTTTTTAACTATAAATAAAAAACTCATTTTTTTTAAACGAAACACCCTGTATCTCGATAATGAAGCATTTTCGGACACGAGTTTATAGGAACTTTTTTCATATTTTGATGAGTGGAATTTTCCCTGAGCTTTTATCACCATAAGTCTGAATCACCCAGTATATTTTGAATAATACGAACATAACCTTATATACATTTTACCCAAGTCTGAGAAATTATAAATTTGTATGCAAAACTATAAAAACGTAGATTGTAGAATAGAATTGTAAATGAAAGTGTTTTTATATACTGTATATTTTATATATTTTGAATAATACGAACATAACCTTATATATATATTTTTTACTCAAGTAAAATATAAATTGATCTGTTTTGTTTGTATTTTTAATACTTACCGCAAACTGAAAAAAAGTGCATCAAAAGTCGTATTATTTGTCTGCTTTTTATACAAAATCATCAACAATAAAACAATGTTTTGTGCAAAAAAAGCACGAAACAGTATTTCGGAAACACCGGAAAATATGTTTACAAAAACGTTACGACAAGCACTAAAGGAGCAACTGTTTAAAATTGTTTTGAGTCATAACATGACTATAGACTATATAAAAAGGTCGTCGCGCGCCAAAACTTTGAGTGTGATAATTTACATTCTGATTTGCAAGCGGATAAGCGATAAAAAATCCGCGAAAAACTAGAGTTAGATCTACGAAAAAATAATTGAAAATTACAGGATTCGCGCGGTATAACCGACCCAAGTTTTTTTTTGTCTCTAATTTTTTCATATTTGTTTCATTAAAAAGCAACACATTGACTTGGTGGGGGACCCTAAATGGTGGAGGCCCTGGGGACGTGGCCCCGCTGGCCCTATGCTAAATCCGGCCCTGCCCATAAGCCTATATAGAAAGACATATTTGTACGCAGTTCAAATTACACTAATTTACAGCCATTTTGCCCACCATGTCTCACTATTATTTTCTTGTGTAGTTCGGCTCACTAAACGCGAAAATCACACTTAAAATTTTTTTTCTTGGGAGCGTTTTCGAGATAGGAATTTTCAATTGTTTTTTTTTTTAATTTTCTGAGGTGTTTTCACGTTTTAGAGTATACTTCGAGTCAATCACTTAAATCAAAAGTAAAAACTTTCTCTTGTATAGTTTTGGTATCGGCTCAGTAGTTCGATACTGGCGATTTTATGAAGTTGAAATAGTCTTTTTTTTTACAAAAATCGAGGTCAAAAATTTACATATCCTTCTGGGAAAGATATAAGTCCAGTTTGATTTATTTTACGTATAGATTATACTTAAAGAAAAAAAATAAGCTGCTGTTGATAAAAATCCATGGATAAATGGCAAAGTTATGAATTTTTCAGTGAAAGACCAAAATTCAGTTTTTTCGAGAATTTCTACTTTTTTTCCATTTTATTGAGTTATATAAAGTTTAATATTGAACATTGATTTTTATTTTAAACATTAAATATTGAACATTGAAGTTTTATTTTGTTGTAAGCATAGGTTTAAAAAAAATATGGCTCCTTTTCTGTTTTTTGTTGCTTTCGTATTCCGTTTCTCGTATAAGGGACCAAATGTAATCACCCATCATGGCTGCATCCCAGAAGCCGTGATACCGCCGCTCCATAGCTTTCATTTGCTGGTGAAAACGTTCTCCGTGCTCATCACTAACGTCGCCCAGATTGTCCGGGTTATTTACGCACTCGAACTCTCTACTTCTTTTACTTATTTTACAATTTTTATTAACTAAATAAAACCATGATAAAAATACTCTGTTAAAATATAAAAAAATGGCAGTAAAATGTCACTATGGCAACACGAGAAACAAAAGAATTCGCGTTTTACGGAGTCATGTCAAATTTAAATTTTATGTTTTCGGTGAAAAAAGTACGTAAAAAACTTAAAAAATTCCAATCATGCACTTTAATTAGGTTTTCATTAAAAAATAAACATATTACGAAATAAAAGGTACAAAAATAAAATAAAAATCATCAAAAAGCTGAATTTTGGTCTTCCACTAAAAAATTCATAACTCCGCCATTTTTTCATGTATTTTTATGAACATTAGCTTGTTTTTTTTTGTAAAAATGTCAGATTCACGAAAAAAAATCCAAACTGGAGTTATCTGTTTGATTTAAACCTTTCCCAGGACGATATGTAAATTTTCGACCTCAATTTTTGCCATAAAAACGAATTTTTTAAGTTATTAAAATCGCTAGCGTCAAAATACTTATCCGATATCAAAAGTATGTAAAATAAAGTTTTAGAGGGCTCAAATACCTTCAATTTAAGGGCTTGTTTGACCAAATCGATCAATTAGATTTCAAGCTATAGGTACTCAAAAACGTCAAAACACCTCCGAAAATTAAAAAAAAACAATTGAAAATTCATATTTCAAAAACGCTTCCATAATTTTTTTTTGTGATTTTCGTGTTTAGTGGGTCAAAATACATGGAAAAATTATAATGGGATATGGTGGGCAGAATTTTTTTTCGATTTTGTAAACTAGTGTTATTATATAAATTATTATACACCTCCGTACAATTATGAAAATAAATTGAAATTACATAAAAAAGGTGGTTCCATCTATCGCGTTTAGCTCGAAATCAGCAAGAAAATGTAAACTTACAGGTCACTGTAGAATAAATTCATGTACAAAGATAACCTATAATATAAGATATGTCAAACGTGAAACCTGACAAAATGTTGCCAGCTCATAATTCGAAATCAGCAAAAAAAAATTAAACTTATGGGTTAAAATTATTTTGCTGTAGAATAAATTCATGTACATAACCTATAATATAAAAAATATATCAAACGTCAAACCTGACAAAATGTCGCCAGCTCGATAATTTAATGGCGGGTTTATACAACTTCATATCATTAATTTATTTCATAATTCACAATTTAGTGCATAAGCATAAACTATCTGCTATGAAACAGTTTATACAACGATTTAATCCCTAACTCACAATTTAGTGGTTATTGAATAACCTTGAAAGTACATAAAATTTAACTTTTATGAAATAAATTATGAATTTTAAATAAGATTGAACAGCGCATGTGCCAACAATTTTTCTCTCTCCATTTTTTAAAGTTATAATTAATAATTAATTATTGTGTTTTGTGTTTGTGCCTTAAGAAATACTACAAAACATGAGTTTTAATGAGGGATTTTGTGTTATTTGTCACTTTTAATTATCAATATTGTCATTTGAAAAAATTAAATATATATTAAATTATGCATTAAATTAACAATTGAGTTATGAAATAAATTGTCCACTAAACTATCAATTGTTGTATAAACGCTTAAAAAAATCGTATATTCAACACGGCGGAGAAAGCATATTAAATGCCTCGCTCAGAATGAGAATGCTCTTTTTCCACTTTTAAACTTGCAGAAAAGGGTACTAAGGATAATTCTGGGAAATGATCAGTTTTATGACAAACATCTCGATATTTATCAAAATTACCATACTTATCAATTTTAATAACTTGTGCATCATCAACAAAAGTAGTAATACAAAAACTACATTTAAAAATATTGTACTGCCCAAAGTCAAGCTTGCAGTTGGCTACAATGGTATAAAAATCTTCAAAATATGTTACCTAATAACATCAAAGTTGTAAATAAGTTATTTATTTAATAACCCAAAAACAGATTTAGTTTTCAGTTTTTAATTTAGTTTTAAGATCCTAGTTTCAAGTTATGTACTGGTACAGGTAATTTATTACCTCCAATAGGCGCAAATTCTATTTCTGTTCACTTGTATCTGGTTGTTAAATAAATAAGTTAGAATATACGTAAGGTCAATTTCTAAAGTTGTTATTTTAACCAATTTTGAACATTTTGGGTGTAAACAGTCTTTAAAGCAATGTTTAATGTGCTCTTTAGGCCAGTGTTGATGAAACATCACTATTCTGATAAAATAATAAATAAATTCCAGAAAATAGCTTATGAAATCAACTGACTTGCCAAATGTGACTCATCAAACCAAATGATATGATATTTTTTTTAGTGTAGAGCTAGTACTTACTGTTAATGTCTGACTTCTTGTAACAATTAGCAGCATCGACGAAATTAGTGGCTGCATCATGCCTTGAGCCGCTCCTGAGATGCAAGCTAGCTGCTTCGCAGAAAGCACTTCCTGCAGAGTCCCAATTTTTGGCCATTTTAAATAGATTGGCCCCTCTCTGATAGCAGTCGACTGCATCTTCTAGCCGATTGGAGCCCCTTTACAAAACAAATTTCCCATTATTAACACCAATTGGATTTGTATTACTCTGGTGACTTACCCAAACAGAGAACCGAAAAATCCTTTCGTTGAAACTTTCTTTTCGGCTTCGGCGATAAGCGCCTGGGCTTTTTGCTCGTTTGATGACATTCTCGCCAAATTATTATTTACCTACATAAAATAATAACCCACAGAAAATCTATTGATAATTTAGTTGCAACTTTCGCCACTTTTGACAATGACACTTGAGGCACTGTTGTCAGATTTTAAGTGTTGCCGGATTTAATCCTGTCAAAACTAACTGCTCGAAATCGGTCTCATACAGGTCACACCTTTATTTAGAAAAACAATACGTAATTTGTTTACATTTTTATATCCATAAAAGTAATAAAAACTACGTTATAAAAGGAACATAGCAAGAACATATAGCGCCATCTACAAGCGCGAAATTTCAGTTCATTTAAAAATTGTTAAATCAAGTTTAATATAATAGCATTGAGTAAAGTAATATAATAAAGTAATAGGCTTTTTTAGACTTACTATTGGACTGAAAAACTCTATAAAACTTTATTTAATTTTAAATAAAGTGATTAAATTTCGCAATTGATGGTACATTTCACTATGTTTAAATAATAAAACTATGTACTGGAAGTATAGGTATGTATATTTTTTAAAAAGCAAGGGTATAAAATTTCTTAAATATAAGTTTTGGCTTAAGAATTAATTGACTAGAAAATAGTTAAAGCTTTAACACAATAATATTATTATTTTTAATTTGATTTTTACAATATCATTAAATTTTCTGTAAGAATCAGGGAAGCACATTTAATTTGAATTGACTGAAAAAAAATTAAAAATAATAACATTCACAAAAGCTAAAAGGGTAATTGACTTTGGACATATATATTTGTTTACCTCAACATAAAGGGCAGTATTTGAGGTAACATATTGTTAATACCACAGGGTGTTTCATAAAAGGACAACTCTAATGCACCTTGTATAATAAAATTGTATACAAAATTGTCTTGGTAGATAAAACATATTCTTCCAAGAAGTATCTTTGGCAGTGTAAAGTAAATATGTTACATATAAATATAGACAATACTGTTTACGTAAATAATTGTTATATAAAAAATATAGCTTATTTCCTTAATACTGGCTTGGCTTGTTTTTGGTTTCATTGTTGCAATAACATTGTTTATCGAGTTTGTATCAACTCCACTACCTTCTAAAATATCTTCATCATCTGTGGTTTCAAGCAATTTGTCTCCGTTACAAAGATCTTTGGTACAATAGCAATATTCGACATTATTTGCTGTCTGACAGTCATTAAGTTTTAATTTTTCACAGGTTCTTTTTACAGACATTCCTAAAACAAAAATCTCATAAAACAAGTTTTAAAATATATTTTTGAATTTTTATAAGAATTATTAAATGTAAATTAATAAAAAAAATTGATTACCTATTGTTTTTCTATTACATGACTTAAGGTTTTTGTTGCATTCTTTTATGAAAGTTGTGTTACTTGGATCAAAATTGTCACATGTAATGTCTGCATTCCCTCCACAAATGTAACATTTTAATGCTAAATTAATTCCTAAAATAACATTATTTCATTACAAAATAATATAAATACAAAAAATATTTATATTTACCAATGTGCAGAAGTGCAATAAATAAAATCATAAAATTGGGGTAAAATTTTGTCGCCATTTTTGGTATTGTTTGTTTTTTGGAAGAATGGAAAATTTACATGACAAATGCAAATTTTAATTAACCACTTGCCGACCATCTAATTTATTGCAGAATCCCATCTCTTTTTATCACTAACTACAGCATCATAACCTAAAAATATCTTCTTAAGTTTAAGACTATCAAAACAATTCAATAGTTTAATGAAATAAAATATAAATATACACAAATCGGATACACATACTTTTAAACAAAATCTATTAATAGGCGAAACTAGAGATCAAAAGAAAACTAATAACCAACTTCTAACCCTGCAACGTATGCAACTCAGATTACGTGCCTACATGAGACCTTGGTTTAGTAGGGAAAAAAAACAAGCATGAGACTACTTTCCATTTTGAAATACTGAAAACTAAGGTCATATTTTAATAATAAAATGCACAAAAAAGGCACAAAATTATTTTAAATTAAAATTCATTGTTTAATAGAAATTGTCTCTTTTGATTTAAAATATCTCCATCTCATTCTACTAGAGTAGTTCGAATGTAGTCCATAGTGTTTTGCTCCGTTTAAGTACAGCTTAAGTTTTTCTTGTATTTTTAGTTTTATTTATTTTGGGAAAACAACCGAAATGGCGAATTTTCACAATGTGGAAGTAAACAGGACCGTCTGGGAGATTCCCGAAAGATATCAAATGCTATCGCCCGTGGGTTCCGGAGCATACGGGCAAGTTTGGTATGTCCACCACCTACCCATTTTCTAAACCATATAATTTACTAAAAATCCCTTATATTTGGCTACAGTTTTTAATTTAAGTCGCTAATATTATGATTTTTTATAAATTTTAACCTTGGTTTACTGTTTAAGGTTTAAAAAAAAACAACAAAACTTGCATAGAGGTTAGAATTTTAAAGTAAGAAAACCTTCACCTATTAAAGCAAATATTTTATTTTATTATTAATATAAAAACATCCTTTATATGCAAGATATTTTGGAGCAATAACAATTTTTTAGTATAATCACCTTTTTAAAATTATGTTTTTGTCAAGTAGGTATAAATGTATAGGTAAATTCTGATTAGATTTTTTTAATAACTACATTGACTAGCTGTGACTTTATGGCGTTTTAGTCACGGGCTGAAGTTAGCAATAGTGGCTTTTGGGCATTTTAGTCACGGGCTGAAGTTAGCTTTATTATAAATTAGAGAAAAGTGAGGTTAATTCCGTTGACATTTGACAGATGTCAAAAGTTTAACAAATAAAATTGGATTTAAATTCTTCTTTGTGGTCGTCGAAGATAAAGTATAGTATGCAACTCGTTTTATAAACTTATCTAGACACTCGTTTTTATTAAACACTCGCTTGCAAGCTTCGCTCGTGCTTCGTAACCAAAATGGCGTTTATAAAACTTGATACATAATATACTACTGCTACATTTATTACACTAGTGCAATAGGTTACTTAACGCGCTAGGCATTAATTGGGAAAAAGTGAGGTTAAAAGCGCTTGACAGTTGTCAGATAAAATATCAAATAAAATTGAATTAAAGTTCTGAAATAGCTATTACATTGCGTTCGTCGTAGATAAATTGCATACAATATTCGTTTTTTAACGTTAATATTATTGTAAATTATTAATAATAGTATTCTCTAAGGTAAAAATATATTTTTTTATTTGATCCTTTTTTAATTTAAGCTCAGCACTTGATACAGTGAGCAAAAATAAAGTGGCAATAAAAAAACTAGCCCGCCCCTTCCAATCGGCTGTGCATGCTAAACGAACATACAGGGAACTGAAGTTGCTCAAACATATGAGACATGAAAACGTCATCGGCTTGCTGGATGTATTTTATCCCCAGCATGACAACAGTCAGGTGATAAACTTGGTTTACTTAAATAAAATCTCAAGTACAAAATAACATTTTAATTTTCAGATTTACCTAGTCACACATCTTATGGGCGCCGATTTGAATAACATAATTCGTACCCAAAAACTTACGGATGATCACGTGCAATTTTTAGTATATCAAATTCTTAGAGGTTTAAAGTATATACATTCTGCTGGAATAATTCATAGGGTATGATATTGTGACAAAAACATCAATAATAAAAAAATATTATTTTTTTTAACATGTACTGAGATCTGGCGATATACTTATTTTTCATCAATCTTGAAAACGGCCTAAAAAAGTTAATATTTTTGGGGAAAATATTGCCTTGAAATTTCAAAACACTCTGTGAGTATTGTTGGTATTTTAGGACTTGAAACCGTCAAATATAGCGGTGAACGAAGACTGCGAGCTGAAAATTTTGGATTTCGGCTTGGCCAGACCTACGGAAACCGAGATGACCGGTTACGTGGCCACCCGATGGTACCGTGCGCCGGAAATAATGCTCAACTGGATGCACTACAACCAAACCGTCGACATTTGGTCTGTAGGCTGCATCATGGCCGAACTTTTGACCGGCCGCACACTTTTTCCAGGCACTGACCGTATCCTTAATTTGTTTGGCACATTTTAAAATCAAGCACAATTTAGTGCATTTTGGTTAATGGTACCAAAATGAACAAAAAATGTTTCGGTTTATACGCTAAATATAAATATAATTACATAAACGTGAATTTCCTTATAAAAAATAGACATTCACCAGCTTAACTTAATTATGGATATATTAGGAACCCCCAGTGGTGAATTCATGCAAAAAATCACCTCAGAAAGCGTTAGTATACATAGTATATATTGCATGAATTATTATAAACATAAATTCCCTGCCTAACAACGGGCATAATAAACTCGTTATTCACGTTGTTAGGCATCAGTGATTGGCCGATTTCAATATTCACTGTGATTGGGAGAAGGCGACTATAATAACATTTAAAATTGGTAAAAAGTTAGGTTAACCATTTGACAGATGTCAGATTTTATTTAATTAATTTTGAAAATCATTTAATTATCTTTATTGGAGTAGTATTACACTCGAGATTATGCGCATTATCTCTCATATAATAATATACTAGGTATTATATTAGTTTCTGACGTAAAGACTTAACTTCAGGCAAGAAGCTATATAAAGTCGTTGGCGCCAGTAGCCAAAAAGGACCTTAACAGCTATTTTGTCGGTGCTAATCCTCAAGCAATACACCTTTTGGGCCTTATGCTGGAGCTGGACAGCGAAAAACGTATAACGGCAGATCAAGCTCTAGCCCATCCTTACCTGACAGCTTATTCCGATCCAAATGACGAGCCAGTTTCTTCACCTTTCGACCAAAGTATTGAAGATATTAATTACTCTGTTGAAAAATGGAAAGGTAAGGTTTAACAGCTGGTTTTGTAATCTGTACTAATGTACAATTTCTTGTTTCAGAGTTAGTATTAGAGGAAGTGAACTCGTTTGTTTACCTGCCAATCCAGCCTGAAGAGAATTAGGTTTTTTTTTATTTTATTTTTGTTGTTAACCTTTAAGATGTATTCTTTTGATTAATATGTATTATAGCAGCTGTACAAAAAACATAAACAATAACAAAGTATTTACATAAAATTTATTTACTCCTTTATACATAAAATATAAAAACGAAAGCCTAATTATTTTTTATATATGTACAAAATACTTTTTGTATTTATATAAATTAATCTATACTATTACAGGTTCACAGCTTAAATATTTAAGAAATCTTTGTTTTGTGATGCCCTTTTTAAGAATAATTTACTTTGACAAAATATTAAATAATTTAATACAAAAATAATACATAAAATATTGTTCATTAAATCCTAGAACAAATGAGCATGTTCAATGATAAGAGATCAAAGTAATATTTCTGTTCCACAAGTAATAAAAATTAATACATTCTTTAATAAGAAAATGATGTTTTGTATGTGATTGTATAAATATCGTTTCCCACTACTAAACTTAAGTTTAAATATGGGTCCTGCATACAATATTATCAATAGTACCTAGTCTTGTCATAAGGAAATACCATAACAACTGCAATCTAATCTCAAATGCCATGACTAAATGCATTAATTTTTTTTTACTTGATCATACATTGGCATGAAATCAATATTTTCATATATATGCTTGAACATTTGATAGCGAAATTGGATTTGATTTGCATGATAAGATTTTGACATAATTTTTTCCTGAATTTGTTTAGCCTATTTTTTTGCGTTCTGCTGTTTGTAAAAGAAGTATGGCATGACTGGATAGTAGATTGATTGATGGTAGTTGGGTGATTTGATGGGACTTCCGCCCATAAATAGGGAGGTAGGAATGCCTTACGTTTTGCACTTGGTCACATCGTGCAGTCTTTTCCATAAATCGTATTGTTCGTTGGCTTTGACCATATGAAAACTGATTGCCTTTTGCAGATTGCAAGTGGTAAATGATACTTTTTTGTTGAGAAATTCGGACGCGTGCACCCGTTTGATCTTGAGGCCGTTGGCCACGATGCCGGTGACGAAGACGTCCTCGAGCTTGAAGTAGGTGTGATTGAGCGCGGCGGTGTACAATTCTTTGGATATTTGAGCGGGCAACAGGTAGGCCGGACCTGTGGTGAAATCCGGGAACACCGACGGCTTGTATTGTTGCGGCGATATATAATACTTGGACTTTTTGTTCCTGATCGGCTTCCATTTTTGCGCTAGTCGACCGTAGATGGCGCGCTGATCGGGCTTGTGCTTCGACATGAACTGCAGCAGACGCGCCACGTTGATGAACATGTCGTCGTCCGTTTTAAGTACGTATGCGGCTTTCGGGCAGTAATTGTCCACCCATTCGAGCAGCGAGATGGTTTTCAGCGTCAAGTTGTCGTAGGTGTCGACGAATTTGCCGCGGATTATGTCGCCGAATAGCGTTTGTTCTTCCTCGAGTTGCCGGTTGATCGTTTCGTTCGACGTCGAGCCGAGCATGAACGTGATGGCGATGTCTTTTCTCATCGCGTAATGCCCCCACGTCTCCCTAATCGCCAGCCGGGCGCTTTGATGGCTCGGCGCCGATGTTACGCATATAAGCAACTTCAAATTGCCGCCCAACTCCGGACAAACTTGCTCTGAAACGTCGACATGACCGGACTGGTAAATTAGTTCCGCTGCTACACCTCGAGTCAAATCAGGCTCGCTGCTATTACTGCTAATACTATTTACACTATGATTATTATTGCTCTGGGCCGTCACCGAGGGCTGTGCGTTTCCTCCTCCTCCTCCTCCTCCTGTGTCTTCGCCACTGCTGCCACCTGTCCCGCCGGCGGTCATGTTGGGTGCCACCTGGAACATGCGATCGGACGTCATGAGGCTTCGAATCGGCGACGAGGTCGTGTGAAGCTGGCTCGTGCTTGTGTACGACAAGCAAATGCATAGCGTCAACAGAGCCAAAACGAATATGGCCAAGTGCAAAAGTCGCACCTGGGCAGGCCAAGCCAGCCCCATCACTGAAACAAAAACAACCAATGTTAGCATCATATATCTACCGTATTTTCATTTGAAATATATACACAAGAGCGAACCCGATGCCCCTCCCTAGATGCATTGTAAGCAAGTTGCCGTAGGCGACGATTCAGTTATGTTTTGCATTTGCTACAGTGGCGTAGCTAGCTTCGAGGGGGCAAACAGAAAAGCGTGAAAAACACGTGACATTTTGGTTGGAATTTAATTTTTATGACGTAATTTAATTTTTATGACGTATTTTGTGGACGTAATTAAAACGTGTTAGTTAGACGTAAAAAAAACGCCCCCCTTAACGTGGTTAAGACGATTCTTAAAGACATCTTTAATACGTCTTTACCAGGGCTGGATGCTCCCGTGTACGAGTTTTGGTTCGTCCCGCGCATGACGTCACTTGATGAGTAGTTGCCGTGCAAATACACGAATAATAGTAATATTATCAAAGAAAATAGAGAAATTTCTGGACATAGTTCGTTTTTATTAAACTTAATATTAATTAATTTAATTAATAATATGGATAATAAATGCTTTCAGTCCTTGATAACATTTAGGGCTGTAGTTTAAGCGTTGGTGTTTTAAATTAAACTTATAGTCACTGTCCAGAAAATGTTTATAGGAAACAGAAGCGGTCTTAACGTAAATATTGTCTATTATTTTTGTGGCATTTAAACACTGTTTCCACAAATCAAACTTTTTCGGGAATCGATTAAATTTAATGTTTTTATTTAAAAGGTTTTTCTTGGACTGGTTGTCCGAATTGCATCCAAATATGCCACACCGCATTTTAATAAATGCAAATGGCACTATACAATCTAAAACACAAACAAAACAAGTTAACGCAACACAAAAACAATAATAAACAAACCTAACAGGTTAACCTAACGCAATAACAATAATTTGAACGCTGAAAAGTAATTCGAACCTTACCGAACACAAAAACTACAAGTTAAACAAAAAGTAGAGCAAGTTAACATCCAAAAGCATCGCAAAAACAAGAATTTTAGCAGCAGATAATTAAAAAGCACGTTAAAGATTTAAAAACACTCATCAAGTGACGTCATTAAGCCCCGCCCAACATGCGCACCATCCTATCTTAAGGTGTAAGTATGTATCTTGGTCTTTACGTGCATTTTAGACGTCTTTAAGGTGCAAAATTGATGTGTTTTGGTTGTTGAATAATTGCCTCACTACTTTTCGCAGAGTGGGCCACAGGACCAGCTGTGTCCCTTCAAAACTTACAAGTGTTCTTTGCTTACAAGCATCTTAATTCTTACTTAGCAGCTTAAGGCATTCCACCTTTATAGGACTATCTATTGTGCTACAGAGGCGAGAGGTATGCATGGGTTGCCTACATATTGGCGAATTTTGAAACATTTTGATGACGTCGAATATTCGTCTGATTCTGGTAGAGGTGACGATAGTGATGAAAAAAAAATATCGATAGTTTCGATAATCATGGTCGTAATTATCAAAACTAAGTATCGATAAATTATCGATAGTTAAAAAAAAACGAAATATATCTATAATACCGGCTGTCAACAGTGTTGCCAGCTCAAATATGTTTATTCACTGCCAGTAGAAATCAATAGGCTGATAAATTTGCTTGGTTAAAATTGTAAATAATATTTAGACTTTTAACTAAGCATATATTATGTTATTAATATTGCAGGCGTTTCTACTGATTTTTACTAAATTTTAGACTGTCAATTGATTAAAATTAGTGGATCTACTGAAAAATTAGTAGAACTGGCAACATTGGCTGTCAGTAATCAGTATCGATATTATCGAAGTCTATATCGATAGTTTCGATAGTATTTAAAAAAGCAAATAATCCATAGTATCGTCACCTCTAGATTCTGGTATGAAATAAGTGGTCACATAAGTAATGGCGAGAAATATACGTCATTTTTACGTTTTATTTTTACTTCTTAAACGTCGTTTGTTATTTTCTGTTTGCTGGGTAGTTAGGTACATATTTCGTCTAAATTTTACGTGTATCAAACGTATTTTTCAAAACGTTTATTTCACGTCAATATTCCGTTACTTTAAAACTCGTTAAATAACAACCAAAATGCGACGTGAATAACACGAGTTGGTTACAGCTCTGTTTGCTGGGATCAAAAATCTGGTAGGGGCCCTTATACAGGAAAAACTGCTAGCAAAAAAATTTCTGGGTGTCACGCCCAAAGTCTATTTTGGGCAAACAAAAATTTTTTTAGGGTATTATTTTTTTGCATTTACCAATTTTTTATAATTTAATAAATAATATATGTATACACAGCTTTTTATGTACAGGCAAATTTTAAAATTTGGTCTGGTTTTACCGTTTATTTACCGTTCTTCAACATCTTTTAAAAAGGTTTCTATTTTAAAATAAAGCCAAGTCATTTGAAATAATTGTAACGCTAATAATACTATGAATAGTTTTAGAAACTTTTTTTACTAACATTGAGTACTCCAGCTTAGTTTAACTAATTTTGGGCCGCTAATTTCAAAAATGTCATTAGTTTTTCTCTAGGACGTCTAGGATTTTAAATAATGTCGTAATAAAATGCTCTGCCTATAACCTCAAAATGTAAGTTTTTTTGTTAGTATTTTAATTATTTATTAAATTATTTTGGATTAAATTTATCTTGAATGTACTGAAGTAATTGGTATACGTCAAACAGTGCCGGCGTGAGGCATGTGCAAACGGTGCGGTTGCACCCGGCCCCGCGTTTTATAGGCCCCGCACGCAAGGCGTCTTAACGAAATTATTGTAGGTACATTTTAGCAACATGGCAAGCTGTAAGCACAGCGTGACAAAATAATATCTGGTCATTGCCAGAGATTATATCTTTAGTAGGTATCGTCATCTATTATCATTCAGTTCAATGTTGGTAAATGTGTATTTGAAGTGGCCTGTATCCGTTTAAAACAATTATTTTTACGCCGGGAAAAGTTTTTCAAAATTAAAATTAATAAAGATATATTTAAGATCCAGAAGGTGTGTGCCAAGAACGGCTAGTGGGTTTGGCTATATTGTCAATAGAGAAGGATATTGGAAAAGAGTTTCCGCTAAAGCAGGAAAAAATTATGTGTGATTTTTTCTTAAACGTTAATTTCTATATTAATTGAAGGAAAAAGCTGAACCACTCAAGTGCATTTTTAGGTCAAATTTCTCTACTATCCGGTAACACGCTTAAAAAATTTTGACTTAAAAATGCACTTGGGCGGTTTCAGCTCTAATCCCTTCAATTTTTTTTTCGTTTGATGTTTTATTGGTTTATTGCCGCTAAGCGCTATGTTAATGTTCAGGACTAAATTTTTAGTTCAAGCCCCGCATTTTTCTTTTGCACCTGGCCTCTAAAAAGCAAACGCCGGCCCTGACGTCAAACACTAAAACTAAAATTTTAATGTATTTTATATAAAAAACAACCATTAGTTAACATTTTTTTATCCAAATTAGGCCCACAAAATTTAATGCATTGCATATGGCACGCCGTTTTAGCATTTATTAGATAAAAGTTTAAAGATTAAAGTTTAGCACTTAAATTATGTTTTAACAGAAATTTATAAAGTTAAATTTTTTTAAACTCAAAACAATTGATAGTCAAAAAATATTTTAAATATAAAATGCAACAGTAAAAATTTATGTTTAAAAATAATGATTTTTAAAGGTTTTGGTTGTAATATTTTATTCTACAAAATTATTGGTTTAAATGTAAGTTTTAAATTTTAAAGTGGTAATTTTTGGATTAAATTTAATCATTTAAATGACTCTTTACAAATTTAAACCAAAATTTTCTATTTTTAACAATTTTAAAGTGATATATTTTTAAGACAAAATTTATAACTTTACATTTAAGTCGATAATTTTAAAATTACAAAGTGTAAACGTAGCTTTAGTAGAAGGCACAAGAGTCTGGGATCGGAGCCACGATGCATCCAGTTTGATAGAAAATAATATTGTTTAATACAGAAGTGAACTGTTGAAAATACTATAAATTTATAAATGTAAACCTAAAATTTTTAGTTAGGAAAATTTTAAACCAATTATTTAATAAATGTTAAAACGGCGTGCCATAATTGCATAATTTTGCTTTTTTCTACATTAAGTTTATTAAACGCAAATGTCTCCTAGCAATGAATCCAACTTCTTTCCGCAATACCCAATGGGTATTACCCATAGATATCTACCAATGCTCTAGATTTGCAGTTACTTGGTAAAATCGTTCTCCATGTTCATCAGTTCGGCAAATTTACCAGGATGAAAATAAAGAAAATTTATTTTCTTGAAAAAGCGGAGAGCATTTTTTCAAAATCGCTTTGAAGTAAAAATACAATTTAAAGTTTAAATTTTAAATGTAAAAAATTAACAGATGCACTTTAATGGGCTTAAACGATAAAGTAGATAAAGGCGCCTTTATACTTTAATTCTATATTAAATTTTGATAAGACTTAATAAATAAGATTAGAGATTGAATTGTTGGGTACTTTAGGTATGATCTGAATAAAAAATATCAAATAATAGTCGAAGAGTAATGTTTAAACCGAAACCCATTTACTTTGTTGCCTTTTCAATTTAAATAGTAATTAAAAAACGCTGTGGCTCCCGTCCCGAGGCGGGACTTAAGTTCAGTCCCGATTGACGTCATAATTTTAAGATTTGTTATGTTATAATAAAATAATAATAATAAATTGTACCTGTATACATGTTAAGGGCACTTTAGTTACGTCATAAAACCAAACCAACCCAAACTCAACAACACAACCCAACCGACCCCGCCCCATTGGGCCCCCCCCGCCCCATTGAGCAAAAAACCCAACTAAAATGGGCAAATTTATGTTACGATAAAAATAAAACACTTTTTAACAAAGAAACAACAAATTTATAAAATAAAAAAAATAAAAAAAGTTTGACAACTTCTAGTGGGATCGAACCCGGTACCTCTCGCATGCCAAGCGACCGCCCTACCATCTAAGCCATCGAGCTTGACACAAATTATAAAATCTCGGGGAATAAAAACCGATTTACAGTGTGTGACGTCAATCGGGACTGAACTTAAGTCCCGCCTCGGGACGGGAGCCACATCGATTAAAAAAACGACACAAAAATTTGAAAAAATGATACTTTTTACCAAAAAAAACATTAAAATTTTAGTTTTGGTATTTAATACTACTATAGTATACGGCTACAATGGAAAATATAATAAGGAAAATTTTAGTTATTAAAAAATGATTAAAGCTAAATGATTTTTAAAAGATTTTATAAAATTTTGTAGTTTTGTTGAATTTTTACCCAAGCAATAATTTTTCTTATAACCGTAAAATATTTAGAGGGCATATAATTTTTAAGATGTATCGTGCCTATTTTTATCAATAAAATAATGTGCGTTTGAGTTTTAATGCAAAATATTATTAGTTTTGACAATTTAAGTTATATTTTTTAATTTTACTCTAGGGTGGCCTTTATTACTTTGTAAGTACCATTTTGTAAAATATAAATTAAAAGAAATTACGAATGTCAATGTTTTAGAAAGAGAGAGCAAACAGACTGTTTGAAACAGTTAGTTATTATAGCGTTATTTTTACGTAAATTTGTGGTAGGTATTTGTATTGTTTTTATTACGTTATTCTCTTAGTAGATCAAAAAGGTTATTATGTAGGTAAAATAACGAAATAAAACATTCACCAAATTTGGTAATTTTTCGTATCTATACCCTTATAAAACCGTTTTGGTTAACCGTAAAAAATACTTTAAAGTTGGCTTAGTAGTAAATTTGTAGTTATTTAAACTTAAACGCTGCTTGGGCAGATATGCGAATTCCAAGTAATTTTAAATCAGCGACAATTTTTTGAGTGATTTTTTGTTAAACTTTCGAAGGGTCATAAACCCCAAAACAAGGTTAACAACCCAACATTATTTTCATATTTATTTAAAATTAAATTGGTTTACTTTTAAATTACCCTGTATAAATAACTTTTTTCTCGGCAACGAAATTTCGTTGAGTTTTAAAGAAAACGAAATCGCTTATAATAAATGCACTTCGACTTACCAAATGCTTTTGAAATATGGTATAAAAGTAAATGTGCGAAAAAAACGTGCACGATATCAATTGCCGATTTACGACTACAGACTAAAAGAACATGTTAACTTAAAAAAAATATTTGCGAAAATTTCATAGAAAACACGTGAATTATTTTGAAACAAAATAAAATAAACAGTTAAGCCTTGCGTGAGGTTAAAACTTAAAAATTTTAAACAATATTTTCTGCTGTTGATTTTATATGATGCTATTGTTTACTGTTGACCTTCAATTATTTAACTAGAATTTATTTAATTCTGTAATAACATTAATATTAACATTTATTTGCTTCTATGATCCTATAATACCATCATAAGCTAACAAGAAATTTAATTTTATATAAAACAAATGACTTTCAAGAAATGTCAAAAATAGTTTTGAAAAAATTTCCATTTCCATTTTAAATCGCCCAATTCTATTACAAAAACTTTTTCAGTAATCATAATGTTTGATTCTGTTATATTTTTTTAATCTATTGATTTTGTCCTGGGAATTTTTATTATCTTTAAAACAAATATATAAGTAGATTAAAAAAACAGCATGAAACAAAATTGATTATTTAATATATCTTGTTATATTTGATCCACTTTTAGAGAACTTTCAGTGATTAAGAAATTCAGAATTAATAAATAAATTAATTCATTATAAATTAAAAAGTTTATTTTTAGATTTGGAACAAGCGGTAAAATAAATTTATTAGATTTTATTATAAATATAAAATGTAAATATTTTTAATTAGAAATTCTTTAAAATTTCTAGCTTAAAATTATAACATTGAAAATGTTCCGAAATTTTGTCACGAAAAATTCACACCAAAACCCTACACGTGTAACGTATCCATATATTATGTGCTTTAAGGTATAACCATTTTTATAGGTATGCTCTTAATTTAAAAATACTAGGATTTACAATATAAAAAAAATAACACTAAATTTAATAACTAACGCAGGAGGCCCGTTATAATGGGTGGAATGAAATTTGACACGAAAATAGATAATAAAAAAGGTTTATTTAAAAATAGTAAGTACTCACCAAATCACGTTAAAAATAAAGGGGATTTATAGACCAGTATGAGCAAAGAAATGTCTCCAAGAGACATGATTTTGTAATCTAAAACACAACGGGAAAAATTCTGTTAAACTACTGAAATATTTTTGCTTTGAGATTAGAAATATTTCAATTGTGATAAAATGTATTATCCACATTTTGATAACAACCGTGCAAGATAAAAAGTAGTTTGAAGTGAACTGCAAAAAATACACCGCAATTCATTCAAACATGTTTGACCATGAAGCCGAAGATCAACGTAAATTAATTATTGCTCGCTCATTTTACTTTAATTAGCCAAAGTACCTAGATATTTTTATTTATTTTCAATCCACCTTTGTTTTATCAAGGTACACTGGTGGAAGTAAATATAATAAAAAACACGTAAGCATCCAAAAGATACAAGAATCAGGGTCTTACTAGACCAACCATATACAGAATGATTCAAAATTAATCTTTGAGGAAATCATTATAATTAAGTACCTATAGGTGGTTTAAGTGGTTTTGTAGTTTTAGTGGTTTCTATACTATTATTATAGTATACATAACATTCAAGAATAGAGCGTTGATTTATTACTACAATAATAATAATAATAATAGTACCTATAAAATTGTTTATTTTGTTGTCCAAATTCTCTATTTAAAACATCTTAAACAATCGACCTTTAAAAATTAGTTCTGACAATGTATAAGTTTTAAGGTATTTAAATATTTAACTGCAATAGTTTAACAATGATTTCTCTAGGAAAAGCCTTTCAGTTAGTTACTCATTTGAGCCAAAAATAGACACAAAAAGGACATACCTAATATTTTATAATTAACATTTCCAAAGTGATCAGTCAAGATTCTAATATTAACGAATTAAAATTACTTAATCGAGTATATAACGATGGCAACGTAAAATACATACAATAAACCACAAAATAAGGCAAAATAAACAACCCTTATGCAAAATTGTGCATAAAAGGCAAAAATTGCCGCCAGTTAATACGTATGGCCCCCCTCCCCGAATACATTGATTTTAATTGCAATTAAACCAATCAGAAACTAGTTAGTGATAAGATAAGAACGACTCACCTGTACTATCTATAAACTAAAACATTACGTCGTTAGGTTATTGGAAAATATACACAGACATGCCATCATCATATTGCGATGACAACGTCATTATACTCTTGAAATCAGTGGCGTAGCAAGTCGCAGTGTTGCCGAGCATATTGCAAGAAACAAGAAATAAGTAAAATTATTACTGGCGCACTGACATGCTTTAAAAAATTAAACTTTAAAACCCTCTATATTATTTATATGCTAGATCGAACACAAGATTTAGTTATTAAATGTACACAGTAAAACCACCTCTGCAAATTTACTAGCGCCTAGTAAAAAGTTTTACTGCTCACAGCTTAGTCAAAATACAAGCTTCACTATTCACAGTAAATTGACTGCTCATATTGTAGTGATATCTCAAAAGTTTGATAAATTTGCTATGGCAAGATAGTAAAATTACTATCAAGATGATAAAATTGCAGTCCTGCATGTGAAATCGTAACTTGAATATTTTTCATTACTTTTAATATTTTGAAGAGGTACATACATTTATAAGTATTTGTCCATATTTATATATATATATATACACTCTTTAAATTTTCTACCCTCTAGTAATTTTACTTCCGCGCTTGTACTTTTACCATTTTGTGCGTAGTACTTTTTACTACTTTTAATAGATCTGACAACGCTGCTAATTTCTCTTCTTCTTCTTCCTCCTTTGACGTCATTGCTACCACCATTACAAGTTTTTTGTTTATTTACCTGTTCAACAAACTGTTTTTTTAATAAAATGTTGAATTTTTTGGTTTCATGTATTCCTAGATTGCTTAAATAAACATTTTAAAAGTCAGTTATGTTTTGTAAAAGTAATTGTTATAAGGGTTGATATTTCAATTGGTACACCTGTCAAAGTGTCAGTTTTTCGTTGTTTGGTCTAATTTGACAGGTGTAATGAGTATTAGGTACATAATGTTTTTGTTAATAAAATCGACGACAATTATTGCAAATGATTACCTCACCCATTGTTAGTGTAATTGCTTATTAATTGTGTAATTTTTCAGTTTCTAATGTATTTGAAATCATGACACATTACTGGTGGATGCATTGGTTTTGGATAACAAGTTTTTATGGTGAGGTTTTATTAAAAATGTCCATTCTTATTGGACAGTGACAAATAAAAGTCCCTTTATTTAACTTAATACAATGTAATTAAAAATGTTTTGGGTGTTGCAAAACTTAGCGATAAACTATATTAAAAGAATCTGTATCACTGTGAGCCAATTAGGATTGATTAAAACAAGCATTAATTAAAGGTGTGAATCATTGTTTTTTAGTTTTGACGACGGCAGTAACAGTTTCAACAATACATTCCACAAGCAAACAAAAAAATACAAATGATACATTCCGTGCCGCAAAGTCAATTGAAATTCAGACCACCACTGATTCCACCACAACATTGAAGCATACAAACACCACGACAGCTGAAATCATCAAGCCTTCCTTAAAAAAAATCGATTTGGTTTTAAAAGTGAATACCAGCAAATCCTTTGAGATTAATCGAAATAACATGACTGTGATAAAGGGGAAAAATTTAACAGAAACATGCGTTAACTTAACAGATAATCAAATGCAGATCAACGCGAGCAGTTTTAACACTGATAATTTAACTTATGTGGACGATTTTAGTATTAATGCCACACAAGTGTCAGCCTTGGAGACAAACGAGGTCGAAAAAGCTTCGCTCGAAGCCGATTTGTCTGGCAATTTGTCAGCTGCTGGGATTACTGGTATAACATTAGGTTGTGTTGTTATTGTTGGTCTTATTTGTGGAGTTAGTTATTTTTTGTATCGTAATCGAAGCTTTAATAGACCTCAGGTACTTAATGATCGGTGTAGCAATCCCGATTCCAGCGGATACATCGATGACGCTTCAGTAAGAGTAAGCAATTACTATTTTTTTATTTTTTGCCAATTCCACTAATGTCCCCCAAATAATACTGTAAGTGTGCAACAAATAAACTGCTTTTTTACCTTTTATTTTTTGCATGATTATATGTGGTCTTGCATCAATTTTTTGATTAAACTTAAAAGTTAGAATTGTTTGTTTTTTAGGATAATTCCGAAGAAATGTACAGTTTGGATAACGATTCCTTTTTGAATAGTTTAGAAGCCATGACCATTCAAAACTACTGGACAGACACTGTGAAACATACAAAGTTATAAAGAAAAAAGACCGAAACCCTCTTATTTTATTTTTTTTGTGTAAATAATGACTTATTTAAGTATTTTAGAATCTGTGATGCATATCAATAATACATAATTTAATTTTAAATTATATATTTTTCTAAAAATTTGTATAGACTATTTTGTGTGATGTTGTTTTCTCACATAATTATTTCTTACATTTTTTATTTGTTTTTATTTATTTCTACATAGTACAAAAGCCTAGGATTTCAAATAATATATGTAAATATTCCAATTTATAAAACCTCTTCCTTTGAAAAAAATCATTTAGCACTATTAGAGTAGTGTATAAATTAGGGATTAGACTAGGAAAAAATGTACACTTATTTATGATAAAAAATGTGCAATAAATACATTTTTTTGTTTATATCATTTATATGTAGTTTACAATGTGAACTAAAAGAGTCGAATAGAATCTTTAAAATTAATAAATTAGTTATCAAATTTAATGCATTTTATTTTTAGAAACTATAGTTGATAAATTTCCTTAAAAATTTTAGGCTAAAATGTCTTAGAAATGCCTTAATAAAAAGTCAGTTGTAAGCGTTTTCCGAATATTAAATACAATAAATACACCATTAAGTGTTGGGGTGACAAAAAATAATTGTTTCTACCGAGCATTTGTACTGTCAAGCATAGAAAAAGGATATCTGTCAAGTGGACGTCAGGGACATGCGCAATGGTTAAATCTCAACCACATTTTCGTATTGCGCATGTTCTTGACATTCGACAGTCCAAATCATGGAGCCTACATAAGGAGTCCATTCTGTTTCCCAAACGGCTTTAATGAGCCAGTTCGTTCTATCTAGATTTTTAGGTACACTTATCCTCGTAATGAATCCGAAGTTTTTTTTAAATTATTTTCATTGCAAGTGCCCCAAAATTAAAGGTTTGGAAAAAGAACCCCTGTACATTGAAAAGCAGTACCTTTGAAAAAATCGTCCATTCGGTTATGTAACATAACTTATGTTTGATTACCGTAAGGTTTGGGTTTAAAATTGGGCTATAATAAAAAAAAACAAAAAAGTGATTTTGAAAGCATCGCACACTGCGCATAGCAAAAAGACACATCATATAGGTGCGCAATTTAGTACATAATCAAAAGTATTAGAGATCAAATTTTGAAAAAATGCACGATTAGCGAGTTATGAGCCAAAAAGCAAAAAAACTCCCCTTTCGGGGGATGAAATTAGGGGACGCGGAAAGAAATTTTTGGGGAATATTCTTGATTCATTATCAGCACCCCTGATTCTACATAAAAAAATAAAACCCGACTACCATCGAGTTTTCCTTCTACAATCTTTGTTTCCTGGACTAATAAAAGAAAACGTAATTTTTGCGATACGTGACCGGTTCTGTCAATTCCCCCTATTTAGTTCGCACTCCTTGTGTAGGCTCCATGGTCTAAATAATCGGCAGAAAATACCTCCCAAAAGGTTTGTATCAACCACAAAACAATTAGCAAAGCTATACATACATATATATTGTAAACCTGAAAAAAACAATTTTGCTTAAGCAATTGCAATCAGGTTTGCATTACTTATTTCATTTTATGTGTTGTTTTATTTTTTCTAGTAAAAACTGTTCGCAAAGAGATCATATTTTAACCAAGAAACGTTTTTTAATAAGAGTGAAGGCAGCTGAAAACAGCAATGCAATCTGGATTGCCTAGTAAGCCGGTTGCGCAAATTTTCAGTTTTATGTCCTTTGCACTGAAAAGGACTCAAGAAGGGTATTTTCGTGGTGCTTGTGGCTGACTGACACACTTTCCAACAAAAAACATTTTCTTACAAATAAAGCTAGGAAATAAAATTATTTAAGGTCTATGAGGCAAATAACTAAATGAAATAGTGAGTATTAGCTTACAAATGCTATGTTTAAAGAGAACTTATGTAATGCAAAAGTATTAAACCTAAAATTGTTCCTATATCGATTAAAAGGTATACTTAAAAATAACATGATGCAAATTTTATTTTTAAACCATTTCGTTTTGAACATGGAGTGTTAAATGTATGTAGTGTTGAATAAAACCTATTTAAGCTGAAATTTTGTATTATTTCCAGTTAGAGTGCGCAAAATTTAAGTGGGAAGTGAAAATTAAGCAGTTTACATCTGTTCTTGGTCGCATCTACTGCTCAAAACGTGTTATTGGACAGACAACCAAAAAATCAGGGGCTTTCGCAATGTTCACACTATGGTATTCTGTACTCAGTTACAAAGAATACAGGTAAGTCTCATGTTTTACGCCTTATTATTAATGAAGATTTTGCACATTAAATATCATTACCGGCCTAACTTCTCGTTATATTGGCCTACATCCAGATTATTGACTATTTATAGATGCATTTTATCTCTCACCTATATTTATAACCGGTGCTTTTTTATTTAGTTTATAGGTACCTAAGCATAGTTTAAGTAATAATTAATTTTATAAACATAATAATAATAAAAAAATAGGTACCTATACACGTTCAATATTTTAATAGAGTTTAAATTTTTTTGATGCTAAATTAATTTTATTATTTCATAGTCGACATGCGCAGTTATATTTGTAGACTATAAACATACAGTGTGTCCAGTAAGTGGCGCCATAATTAATAATTAAAAATAATTATATTATATAATTATTAATAATACGCAAGTTTATATGCTTTTTAATTTTCATATAAAAATAAAAATGGCTCAGTATAATATACGGTATATTGTATACCTACTATAGTGAACAATGTTTATTTGTTTTAAAATAAAGTGCATGGGAAATATTTTTGATTTAAACGTGAGAACCAACGTTTATTTTGCCCCCAAGAAAAAGATTTAATAAAAAACGTATTAGGGTTCTATTTTATAGAAAAAATATCTTAATATTAATATATGTATATTAATTGATATACCTAAAGTCTTCATAAAAACTTTTATCTTACAGAAGCATAATATCTTTAGGCTAAATATATTATGCTTCTAGGCTTGCCAGATATTAATTTCGAAAAAGGGGTAGGTATTTGAAAGGTGACTCCAATTAGGATTTAAATTGAATACTGAAGATCCTTTAACAAATGAAGAAATATTTGATGTTTTTGCCGAGAGTTCCAGTTGTTTCTTATGTTTGTTGGAATGCATATGTTTTTTTACATCAAAAACGCCTCCGTTAGCTATGGAGAAGTTAGAGTGACATAGGTATACAACATTTTGCGAATCCGGCTTCTTTGCCTTTTACAAGCCAGTTATACGTTTTGGACCAATCGTCATTAAAATGATTTCGTCTTTTTTTGCTCCGTTTTGGTTGAAATTTTTGCATCCGTGTTATAGTAAGTTTCTGATGATGACATATTGTGCAGTTGTGCAATCTATAGTAATTAAAACGAAGAGATTTTGTTTATAAATACAAAACAAATTCAACTAAACTTGAGAGCAATTGCACTGGAAACCCTTTACATTAACACTGTACACTTAAGTAATTAAGTAAAAATAGACACCAAACTGCTGTGCTCTACGTAATCTCGTATAAACGTAATGCGCAGTCATGATGCGCATAGCTCCCAGTAGCAATAAAGGCGGTAGACAGGAGATGTAAAAAGCGGTAAATTTGAATTAGAAAATGGTAGAAATGATAATTTAATATAAGATAAAGTGCTGAGTGCCGAATGACCCGTGCCCGTTCAAAATTAAGTTTTATGTAAAAATACAACCGTCTTAAAATGGGGTATTTTTGGTACCCCTTTTGGATTTTTAGAAAAACGGTATTTTTAAAATTCTATATAGAAAAAGGGGTATTGTACCCCAAAAAGGGGTACGTCTGGCAAGCCTACCCAGCAAACCAGGCTGTTCCATTTACATAACCATGATATAACTAACAAAGAACATTGCCATATAAAATTGTTTACATAACATTTACATATTAGTTATTTATTTTGTTACATAATTATGATAAAACATAGTAATATAACATTTATATAAATATGTTCCCCTCTTGTTATATTTACATCCCCCTTATGTATCAGCCATATAACAATGTTATATATCTACAATGGAACAATGATACATCATTGATATATGGCAATGTTTTATAGTATCCATATAACCTTATTATATAGTATTTACATAGTTTTTCTTTATTTTGTTACATAATTATAATAAAAAATTTTAATATAATAGTTATATCAAAATGATCCCTTCTTGTTATATTTACATCCCTATTATGTCATGGCTATATAACAATGTTTTATACCTACATTGTAACAATGATATATAAATGTTATATATTAATGTTTTATAGTATTTATATAGCCTTTTTATCTTACTAACGAACTCGTTTAAACGGTTGTGTCGAGTGCTCTCTATTGTGTTTTAAGTTAAGTTAAGTTTGATTCCATTTTTTTATAATAAAATGGAAGACAAAAATAGAAAAAAATATATTTCCCTATCCCGGAGGCAAAAGCGGAGGAGAATTAATGCAGATCTCAAAATAATGGGCGTGGAGGTAAGAAATTGTATAGAAAATACCCAAGACAATGTGGAATATACTGAGGCTAAAACCGAAGTATTATCTTTCCCTAACCAGCCAATAAATAAACATATAATAAAAATATTTTTACAGAAAATTTGGGAGAATATTCAGGAGGTCATATATTCCTATAGGAAAAATTCCCATACTTTTGTGGAAGATTTGTGTAATAGATACTTACCTAGTCAACTTTTTATTAATGATCTGTTAAAAGTTTTGAGAAAACATTATTGCAAAAAGAAGTAGAGGCTGAATTTGTAAGTATATAAAGGGCGATTTTAAACCTGTTTAATAATGTTAATTTGTTTTTAAAACAGGGTGCTAAAAAACAAGCGACAAATTATAATTTAATGATATTTGGTAGCCAAAATAAGAGTTTAATTTCTATTTTTTTTTAACTTTATACTGTTTTTTCAACTGGTACTTAAAAGATACAATAATTTTGCTAAATAACCAAGATGGATACACTTTTTTATTATAATTGTTGTGACAATTAATTTTATGCAAATTCCATATTTTTCATTATTTTTATATCTCTTAAGGTTGCAGGGTGCATTTGACTTGAATAAATAAAATCAAACAAATTATTATTTGTACCAAATATCATTTACATAACTACATAAAGAATAGTTAACAATTGTTCTTTGTTTTGAAAACAAATCAATAAACAAAAATAATATTAAATTGTATTTTTTTTTCAGTTTCAGTATATAACAAAAATTGGAGGCGTCTCAGAGAAAGATGCCACAGTAAGAGTTTTAAAGAAAATCTTCTCAAATAATTTGGCAAAAGATTGCTCTTGGCTGGGGCTAAGAAACAACAATAAAATTCAAAATTTAAAATCTGTTGAAATATTGAAGGGTAAAAATGTAAATTTTATGGGATTTTTTATTAAATAAATTTTTTTAAGCTGCTGTGTGCACTTCGACAGACAAAAATTTTGAAGGCATAGTTTCCGAATGGTTCCGGCATGCCAAACAAAGATTTGGTATACCCTATAGGGAAGCAAAAAACCCATGAAAAGAAGGTATATTAATATTAAATTCATGGGATTGCTTTATCTTTTTTACCATATATTTTTTAGCTTTGAAGTATTAATGTATTTGGGATTTTTTTGTTTGGAAAAACTTTTCGTTTGTTTTAAGAAGTTAGAAAGAAGAAATGATTTGTTTTTTTTTTAAATTAAAATAATTTTTAATAAACATTTAAACCAATTTGTTTTTTTTTAATCATTTATTTTTGTAATGTTTACTTATTATTTATGTAATATTTATTTATAATTTATTTAATATATTATCTAACTGGCATTAACAATTTCTTAGTTCTAATTTGGTATTATGGCAATTTTAAAATTTTGTTGATTTTTTTTCAAAAAATTTGCCATAATACCAAGTTAGGGCTAAGCAATTTTTAATACCAGTAAGATAATATATTACATGAAATTATATTTATAAATATTTCATAAATAATATGTAAATATTGCATAAATTATATATAAATAAGTAAATGCAACATTTATGTAAATAGAATATAATTGTTTTATCACGTTTACATAACTATGATATGGCGCTGTAACATTACAGTTACATATCTATGATAAAACACTGTTACATCACAGATACATACCCAGGAAGGGGTCTTGAGGCGGACATAGGAGCATCGCCATTACATATAGGTGACATAGCTGTTGCATAGTAAGGAACAATTTTTATGTAAATGTTATATCACTGTTACATAACTGATATGGCGCTGTAACATTACAGTTACATAACTATGATAAAACACTGTTACATCACAGTTACATACCCAGGAAGGCGTCTTGAGGCGGACATAGGAGCATTGCCATTACATATAGGTGACATAGCTGTTGCATAGTAAGGAACAATTTTTATGTAAATGTTATATCACTGTGACATGATTTGGTTTGCTGGGTATATGCTTCTGTAAGATAAAAGTTTTTAGGAATCAACAATAACTACGAGAGTCGTTAGAAAAGTTCTCAACCTAAAGCATAGATGTCGTTTGTGTATTATCATCACATACTTCTACACAAATACCTCTTATTATATATATTTTGTATAGATGACTTTGTTTCCTTTTCTGAGGGGAAAATTGTCGGTTTGCCGTATCATTTTAACTTATGCGCATAGTCAGTTCATAAATGAGGGATTTAAAATATATGATACCATAGACATAGTAATACGTCCAGGTATGATACGAATTGTCAACTAAATAAAATTTAGGTTATATCAATTTTTTAAAAATCATTTTCTTATATCGCCTAGGTTAAGCTTATATAAAAGTCTGTGGTTTAGCTTTATAAAAAGCAAATAGTGGCATACAATGCTTATTATGCAGCCACTAAAAATCTCGTAAACACAATGAAAAAAACAATGCCAAAACAATTGGTATAGGTTCAACAGAAGACAAACAATATGGTTAATTATAAAAACCATCTACATATTAGTATGTCTATAGTAAAAACCTTATTTCTATCGTGGTAGAAATACGACGTTGCCAAATTCTCGCTGTTGTAAACATTACCAAAGTAACATTTTTAGTTTTATTGTGGTCTTCAAAGTTTTATTATGGTCCTCAAGAACGCTTTAAAACAAAATTTTGTTTTAAAGCGTTCTTCAAGATCATAATAAAACTAAAAATGTTACTTGGGTAAATATCCTTAATTTGTGTTTATTATTGTTAAATGCTTTTACATACAATTTATA